GATCTGCTCAGCTCAGACAATTATCGCTCAGCTCAGGTCAGATCAATGATTTTAGAACAATTTTACTACTAAAAATAAAGCAAAATTTGCAACTCTATCCTGGATAAGAATAAAGAAGCGTGGATAAGTATTCTTACCGCAAAAGTCAAAAAACACTGCTTCCTGAATTTGGTTCCGAGAAATGAGTAAACGATTGCATTCGAAAGTGGAGTAATGATAACACAAGTTTCCGCTAATCTTCCAAATACATCGCAATGAACTTTTGACAAAGGAATTTCAAATACAACAATGATCATGAAGCACATGTAAGGGACGTACCAGATCGACGTTGTTACTAAAAAAAGAGAAACGCAAAAAATAATCAAAAAAAATCTTTTTATGAATTACCAGCGTAAATTGAAATCATCATATTTAAATTTCTCCTTGAACGCGCGCCATTATTTACCGATCCAATGTTTTTAAGAGAATTTTGTAATTTGTTATTTTTCTTCATAATAAATATGTAAGAAGTGATGCTGACAGTAATGGGGATAAGAAAAACAACAACGGCGAATGTAAAGTAGTAAAGTTTTTCGAGGAAGTACTTTGGTTGTTCACACCAATTAAAGATAGATTCGGAAGGGTTCCCCTCGTGGTCATGGCCTCTTGTGGTCATTACTAAACTGTTTATGAATTTAAGGGTCTTCTTTTCTCCCCATGCTCAGAGTTGCAAACTTTCTGAGCTGAGCCGGCTGAGCGAGCTGAGCAGGCGCTTAGCTCAGCTCAGTTATTTTCAAAAATGATCTGTTTTGCTCAGCTCAGCTCAGGCAATTATCTCTCAGCTCAGCTCAGCTCAATTATTTGAGGACAAGGCTCGCTTAGCCTAGCTCAGACTACACTTGTTAAACAAGTCTTGTTTACAAGTAAAAATTCAGAAAAAAACAGCTCACCTTAGCTCAACCAGCTCAGCTCTAAAAAAGGGTCCGCTCAGCTCAACTACCTTAAAAAAAACGTCAGCTCAGCTCAGCTCGGCTCAATGACCTCTCAAAAATGGACAGCTCAGCTCAGCTCAATTGCACCTGAGTATACGTGATGGCCATCAGAGAGGAACCCTTCCAAAAGGGTCATTTTCGGGGCAATCAAGAAAACTTCTGTTTTCCTTTTTTAATAAAAGCGCTTTGCGAGGATAAAAAAATATATTTTTCCGCGTCAATCATACCATCAGAAACCCTTGATTTCTGATGAAAAGATTAATTCTAGCAGCTACATCTTTTTTTTGTATCCATTAACTGTGCATTCGTCTTTCGACTTCATTGTCCAAACATGATTACAAATATAAACTTCACCATCATTAACTGCATATGCGAAATAAATCAGCGGTATCGTCATCAACAGTGAAAGAGTCCAAACTATTCCGTAAATTACTGAAAGACGAAAGCCGTGATTTTCTCCAGGGCCTGCCTTGACAATCGCATAAAATCTGTCAAAAGCGACGGCTGATCAAAAAAAAGGCATCTTTTAAAGCAAATATGTTTAAAAGCAAATTACCTGATATCGAGAAAAATGACAAGCAGGAGGAAAAGACGTGACATCCCCAATCAAATTTACACTTTTCAAGGCATTGATAAAAACCGAGCAGAGCTTCCAAATTTATTAATCATTTTTAATGGATAATGAGTAATGAAGGCCTACCCTGTAATTGTGGAAATTTCGCGTCACCTGTTTAAAAACAATAGTTTGAAAATGAAAACTTGAAAATTTACCATCAATATACGGCTGATAGTTCAAGTACTTCATCAGTACCATATCAGCGATTGTCAAATTCAAAACAAGGCAAGAAAATGATGATTTAGTTCGCCAATTGTACGCTATGATAAAAAGAATGATGATATTCGCTGGGAGGCCGACTATCAGAGTCCCATAATGCACGATAATAAATATCTGGTCGAACCATGGTTTGCTCGGGGTTTGCTCTGCGTCAAAAACCGTATTGTTATAGAAAAAATAATCAGTAATAGACTCGTTATTTTTATCGGTAATCATATCGTCAAAAAAGTCAATTGCACCGAGTCCCCAATGTTTCTCGCAAACACAATAATCTTCTCTTTCAAAGGAAACAACCATCTCTATCCATGAAGATCAGATTGCGAATTGACGAAATGAAAAAATATTCAAAAAAGCCTGTTTTATAGAACTCATATAATTTGCGGATATTTAATTTAACCGAGGAGAACGCCGAATATTCTCGGTAATAATCGAGAGATTTGTTTTGCTCTGATCAGCTTCCTTCTCTTTTTAGCCGGGAAAAAATGCCATTTGGAACAGTGAGTTTTGCGGGAGCCATTGGCTCCCTGTGGAGACTTTCCATAGATCCGTTGAGGATTTTTTTTTTTTGAATTAACTACAAAATGAAAAGATTTGAAATTCTTTGAAGCAGAGTTGCAAATTTTCTGAGCTGAGCCACTTGCTCAGCTCAGTGATTTTCGAAAATGATCTGCTCAGCTCAGCTCAAAAATTTGATGACAAGGCTAGCTTAGCCAAGCTCAGATAACGCTAGTTTACTAGTATAAAAACAGTAGAAAACCTCTCAGCTTAGCTCAACCAGCTCAGCTCAGCTCTAAAAAGGGTCTGCTCAGCTCAGCTCAACTACAGTAAAAAATGTCTGCTCAAATCAGCTCAGCTCAATGACCTCTGAAAAAATGGACAGCTCAAGTCAGCTCAATAGCAAGTGATTAAGTTCCGCTCAGCTCAGAAAAATATTCACTGAGGTCAGCTCAGCTCTGTTCAGTGGTGATAAAACAAAATTTGAAGAATCTCGAGGTTTCTCGATTTTTAAGGTTATTTATGTAGAAAAAGTAAAATTTTCCCTGGATGTTCAAAAGCGAAAACATTAGTTCAAGATTTTAATCTCTTAAATTCTGACCTTATCGGCGGTGTTTTTCGGTTGGCTGAGCCGTCCATTTGTGGCCGAAGCTGATCCCCTCTGCCCTGGAAAGGCGCACTCTCGCTTCCGTGCTTCTTCGCATCTCGAAATCCGGAACACGTTCAGTCGAAGCCTTTTATCGCAGAACGGGCGATTCAATTTAGATCAGAAGCTAAACCGCTCCCCAGTTCCGAGCCAGTTCTTCGTCGACAAATAAATCCAATTTATTCCCTGTTTTTCTAATTTCATTTTACAGCTCATGTTCCTTCTCAAATAAACACACCGAAATAAAAGTAATGAAATAAGGAAGATTATTCCTTGAAATTTTGTTGGAGCATGAACAGAGAAAGCGCCACCATGCGGCGGCCAATTTTTTTTTATATAAAAAAGGCGGTTCTTGATAAATTTGATGCGAATCTTGACTCATACTGTATGACTCACATTCTCCGAGTCATAGACTATGACTCATGGTAAAATTATATCATTATCTATGACTCACAATAAATGAGTCATCTTTCATAAACTTGATGATTTTTTATTAAAACTATTTGTTTCTGGGTTGTTCTCAACATCATGCTCGTCCAAAATGGGTTTATAACAACAGTCATCATTACTGGTTATTTTCAAAGCGCCCTATTTGTCGTGTCACGCTCTCAACAAATTGAAAAAGTCAATAATCATTCCCCCTTTTTGCAAACGATTTCCAAGAATCCAGCAAGTGAATCTCCCAAGTTGCGAAATTCAAGCAAGAATCAATAGGATTGTGGCTTGGAAATCTGTGTAGAAAACCTGAGTCAGGCTTTTTTGTGGCCTTTTTTTAAAGCTCAGAGTTCCCATGTCTCTCGATACTAATCCGATCAAATAACTCCCCTAGCCGCGTGAGCAGCTGCTCAATTTGTATTTATCCGGCGGTTGGATAAATCTACATCAACTGAGCCTGGGATTTTCTAAAATCTTGACGAGCTGAAGTCTCGAAAAAAAAACCAAAAGGAGTGACTTTCCCACGGCCGCAATCGCACTCCAGCCGTCAGCCTTTTTTTTACCTCGACTTGACATGCACGTTGGCCGTACTTTACTAACCAATATTTTTTTTAATCACGAAATGTGTTGATTTTGACACTTATTCTGACAAGAATATTTTAGAAAAAATGATCAGCTTTATTTTGTAACAATTAATTCACTTGAAGACTAATGCAAGGCTCGAAAACTTGTGTAGAAAAACTGACTCAAACCTGATTTTTTTCTGATCTAACATCATGTTAATTAAGTATTTTGATAATTTTTTCGCGAAATAATTTTATTAAAAAATGTTTAAATTAGCGAAAATCGCCATTTCTGTAAAAAAAATATGCGAACTTGAAAAAACTGTTTCAAAACTACATTCTCTTGTCTGTAAAATCAGTTGTATTGGATAAAAATGAAAAATAAAGACTTCAATCTCTGTTCGGATAAGCGGTTTTTATGTTTGAACTAGTCACGTTTCGATAATTATAAAAAATCATTTCCCTATTATGAGATCTCGCAATCATCTAACAGCTCAGCTGTTTGCGATAACGACCGCGGCGTCTAAAAAAGAGCAGACAGCAAGACAGACCTGTTCGCCGAAAATGTGACACAATTAAAAAACATAATTCTCACGTTTCCATTTTTCGAAAAGGGAAAATTGCTTCTGACCAATATTTGCTCATGAGATGCAAATACGTTCCCGGCGACCGATCGCATTTCAAAATACAGTTTCTCTGCTTCTAACTGTAATTCAATCATGGAAAACTTTGTGATAAACGAAAGATACAAGGCGATTCGAGAGCTAAAGCCGCCCAGAGATGGCAAAATTTACTGGGTCGTTGAGGATCTTGAAAATGGTTAGTCGGATGAAAAGTGCTGAAAATTTGAAATTTGAAAATAGGGAACGAGCTGAAAATGCTGAAAGGAATCGCGCTTTTTGATGAAAAACAAAAGCAAGATGCAAATCAGGAAGTCAACCTTCTCAATCGACTAGGAATAGGCGAAAATGATTAACAGGAGCCTTCTTTTTCTAAAAGTGACCAGTTTTAGCCCTGAAAAAGACCACCCCCACGTGGTAAAACTTCTCGACAACATGAGTTTTACGTCTCCAGACAATCTTCCTTACCATGGCTTGATTTTGGAATACATGCCAGGTGGAGATTTGGCGACTTTTCTCCAGAAAATGCTTGAAAATGGTGAGTTTTTCAATCAAAATGCCTCTTTACTTTATTTAGAATGGGGAGAAAACGAGGAAGAATGGGTCGAAAACGATGCTCTTGGAATTTCAGCGCAGCTTGTTCTTGCTATGAGTAACTGACAAAATATGATAACGATTTTTAAGAGTTTTCAGAATACATTCATGGTGAAAATATCATCCATCGAGACATCAAGCCCGAGAACATACTGCTTTCTGAAGATCAGAAACTCGTATGCTACCGTCTAAAAGCCTTTATTTATTTTAACTTTTAGGTGAAGATCGCGGACTTCAACGTTTCCCGACTGTTTGAAGGAACTATGAATACCGGTGTGGCTGGATCGATGGAATTTCTTCCTCCAGAGAGTCTTCAGGGCCAAGGAGATGAGAATGTTACTTTTGGGCATGATGTTTGGGCGATGGGAATCGTTTTTCAAATGCTCTGCACCTTCAGGACTTGTTTTCTCTTCTTAAAAGCCGTTTCAGCTTATTAATTTTTGATGAAACAAAAAAAGACATCCCTTCGCGACACGAAATTTGCTCCAAACGATGAACAATATCGCCCAAAACCTGCGAAATCCGGCAGAAGTAGTTTTCCCGGCGATGGAAAGTCTGATCCAAGATTGTCTCAAAATTGACCCCGGAGAAAGAGCAGCAAACGCAGCAGCTTTGACGAATCATCGCTCAATTGTCAGTTTGATCAAACAGCTTCAAAATCGAATTCGGCCTAAGGACTTGGTTTTTGGGAAGAATCGGGTCGAAACGACGGAAGTAATCAGCGAGCATTTGAACAACGAGAATATTGAGAAAAGCGATAAAATTGAGAAAATTACGAAGAGATGCAGTTTTTTCGAGAAATTTTATCTTGATCATCACAACGCCAGAAATCTATGGGAAATTGGATTTGGATTTTACAACGGCGTCGACTCTCAATCTGTCCGACAACACCACGACGAAGCTGCAGTTCGACGAGTCCTCAAAGCAATGGCGGCTGGCTTTACGGAATTCAATTTGAAGGAATTAGATAAAATCGCATTTATTAATTTTTAGATTTTTGTTTGGACGCGATTTTCACCCAAAATTAAGTTTCATTACGAGAAAAATTTAGAAGTGACCGAAGCTAGATGGACGATTCGACATCAATCGTGGAGCAAACACTGCGGCGGCGACGGCTTCTGGAAAATGTGCATTCTTTTCAAAGGTATTGATTGCAGAATTTGAGACTTTTATTTTTTAGGAAAACGCGTCGACTTTCGAGCCGACGCGGACTCTATTGCCAATAATGATGGGACGATCAAGAACTCGGCGAAAAAATTGACGCCGGATCAAGAAGGAATGGTAAAAGTCAAAGGCACATGGTCTTATGTCCGCTGGAATATTAAACTTCTCAACTGATTCTGTACATTTTTAATAAATCCCGACTGTTTTATTTGATTTATCTTTTGAAATAAATGACGTGTGAAAGCAAGAACTAAATAAAATCGTTTTTCAAATTTTTTTTTGATTATTTTTAACAAAACAATTATTCTCCAAAAACCTCGTTCTTTCCCGGCTACGTGAAAGCGATCCCGTGGCTGATCCGTTCCAGCTGTCGAATTCCTTCTTCTGGCTCAACTTAGAGCTTTGTTTCTCTTTGGGCGGAAACTCAATCTCGCCGCCTCGTCAACAGTACTTCTCTGTTGATCTGCTTCTTTGTCGCCGGCTTTCTCGCTAAGACCCCGATTTCCACTTTTTTTACCGCCGCCGCTTCTCAAACGTATCACTCTTCGATTTCATTAGACGATTTTTTTAAAGTCGGACATTTTCGGACGTCTTCTTAGTAAAACTTCTTTTCAAACAATATTTTTTATGCCATTACTTATGACTCATAAGCTAACCAAGTAATTAAGGGATCCCCCCCCGTTTTGGCCATCTTTGACTGGAAATTCAGCCGATTTGCGCTTATGTATTGGGGCATACAATAGCTCTACGGAAAGCTCAGGTGGTATCCGCTATTCTCTAGTACAGAGAAGTTTTTTGGTCAAGGCAAACCTACCACTAGGAGGGGCCAAAGTTCGAGAATTTCGAAAAAAGGCCATTTTAGGCCATTTTTGAGTCGAAATTCAGCCGATTTGGGCTTAGATAGACACCATCTCCGACTATATTTTGATAGGCCAAGGCCTTATCTTAAATCTCTAGTACAGAGAAATAATTTGGCCGAGTAATTAAAAAATTTTCTTTAGAACAACCGATTGGGTCCATTTTTGGCGTTTTTTGGAGGTAAAATGCTCTCTAGCGCCAACATTTAGTCTAAAAGTCTAGTGCGGTTATAAAATTCTTAATCAGCACATTCTAAGCTTTCGATAGACCCCTTATATGTCATATTTCGATGTTATTGAAAAGTCGAAAAAAATTCCGATTTTTACGCGAAGTATAAATTACATGCATTTTTGCAATTTTCGAAGGCTAAAATTTCAGGGATAGATGTTCGTAAAGGGGTCATATTATACACCAAAATGATCCTCAGATCACGAGGAATCTAAATATGCCAAATATAACCCCCTATGAAAGACTTGAAAAAACAGGGGGGATCCCTTAAAACATGAAGTAAGGGTATCGATCTCTTATTTACTTTAGTTTATTATTGTCATGATGACTATTTTAAGTTGAAATTATTTAAGTTCAAAAGTGCCAATTTTGACCAAAAACTAAAAGACCCAGATTTTTGACCAAAAACGGGCTGATTGGTCCGAAATTTCCTAAAATTTTTGTGTCGAAAAATTTCTACAATGTCAATTCTCTCCCCCCTAAAACACAGATTTTTGACTCAAAATTAAGGGCGACTTATCAAATCAAAAAGCAAGCTTAACCTTTCTGCGCGTATGTTGCCAAATAAATGGAAATTTTCGTAATTTTTTCAATTATTTTTTCTCCGATATGAAGTGGTTTTATAAAATTCTCGAAAATCTATTATTTAACCGTTTTATCTAAAATAATAGCATGTCAAAAATAGACCGTCAATTTTGCATCGTCAATAAAAGCTGCCTTTTTTAGTTGAAAAATGATGCTTCTCTGGGTTGAGCTAAAATAAAGTCCAATTATAATTGAATTAGAATTCAAAATAGGGAAAAAGATAATATGTTTATTTGAAGAGAATTTTGCAGGGTGGATAAATTAAAAAGTATACGTTCGTTTTCGCTCGGTTGCTTCTTCTTTCACCTGAAATAAATTGATGAAAAAATATTTAGATTTGCTCAGTTATGAACTTGGTTTTTGCTCCAGCTAAAAAAATACAGCGGTTGTTGAAAATCAGCCGCAAAGCCAGCTCATCAGAAAATTAATCAGCAGGTCGGTTTTAGAAAAAGTGTTCATTTAACGAAGCTGACTGTTCAAAAAGCTAAAGAGATGTGCGTGTAAAAGTCGGATTTGTCGTAAAAACGAAGAGTCTTAAAAAAGATCAAAATCATTAATGGATGATGTGTTCAGAAAAATCGAAATTTTGCAATAAAATCGTTAAAATGAGCTGTATTTTTCTTGAAGAAATAACAAAGGGACACCCTTATTTTTCTAAAAAAAATATTTAAAATAAAATATTTTAAAAATATTTAAATAAATTATTTTAAATTTTAAGAATCAAAAGAATAAGGGTGTCACTTTGTTATGTCTTCATCAAAATCAAGATTAAGCTGTCTACACCCTTAAAAATTTGACCCAAAGTTCATTTAGAAAACAACTATTTTCTAAAGCAATGAATTTCTAAATTATGCGCTAGAATGTCTAAATTTATTTATCTCTTCAGTCCAGCCCTTTATAAGACCGCAAGAAACTGCACTGAGCATTAGCCACGTGAAAGAAAAAAGCCAAGACAGCTCAAGATCTCGAAATGTTATTTGCGCAAGAATGGAGCCGGCATTTCAAATATCTCGCTCGAATTATGATAATTGACCGTTTTTAAAACGCCCAGTCGGACACACAGCCCGGCCAAAATGCGATAAGTCAGCAAACAGAGGGTCGAAAAATGAACCTTCTATTTTCACCAAAGAAGAAAAAAAATTGCCTGAATAAAATAAAATTAAGTGGTTATTTTAGCGTTTTGAAAAAAATACCGCAAAGTCCATTTTAATTCTATCATTTTCAGAACCTGAGTCAGGTCTTCTACACAGGTTCCTGAGCCTAAATTATAGCTTCCTCAACTGGGCTCAGGAGCCTGTCTTCAAATCCTGAGTCAGGATCCGGCAAACATCCCAGGAAACCTGAGTCAGGATCTTAAAAAACGAAGCCTCGACTCAGGTTTTAAATATAGGTTGCCGAGGGCAGAGTCAGGGTCCTGACACAGGTTAAATAAGAAATCATCTTGTCAGGATCCTGACTCAGGATTTTGACACAGGCTCCTGTGCCCAGTAGAGAAAGCTATGATCAAGGCTTTGGAGCCTGTGTAGAAAACCTGAGTCAGGTTTTTAAAGTGATAAAATGAAATGGACATAGTTCCTCGATCTCGTTATTAAAAAATGAACTTTTAGTTTTTTCCGGAAAAGCACTTAGTTTTTCCTCCCCGAATTCCCCCGTTTTAGCTCCTTTATTCATTGATCGTTACGAACATGTATGTGATAGGTGCACACTGCCTCTTGAATTCTCAGTTTAGGAAACACACATTCAAGCAAGCACAACAAAGTGAGATATTGTTTTTGCGTAAACCGTTCTCGCGAAAATTAGTCGCTTCTAATTATTCTCGGCCCGTAAACAATAAACTTCCCGTAACAAATAAAATTTCAGGGTACGAAGATGAATCGTGAAAGAAACCGCTTGCGGCTTTTTCAAAAAGAATGAAGATGCGGATTGTCATTAAATAAGTCTGACTTGGTTCTTCTGCACAGGTTGCCTAGCTCATATAATCACTGTTTACTTTATTCGATGCAGCTCAGCAGTCTGCTGCTATTTGACTGTTTGCAATGTTAGTAGCAAGTCTATTTGCTTTCCCAAAAAATCTGAGAATTCTGGTTTTTTCAATATTAATTAAGAGATCTAGCGATAAACCATTTATCTTTGAAAAATGCAGAACGCTGACCAACAATCTGAAAGCTCTCTCGGAAGTAGCTACTACAAAAACAAAGGGAAGAATTCTACCGAGAACAGCAGGAAAATTGATGATTCAACATTGAAATCGATTTTTGATCGAGTCGAAAAGCTGGAAAAAGACAACGAGACTTTCCGAAGCCTGGCATTTGATTTCCGTGCTTTGGAGAAAGAGAAAAATGAATTGAAGGCGAAAAATGATGAGCTGGAAAAACGAGTTGCTGAACTTGAGTCTTTCAAAGAGAATTCGAATCTTGGAAACCAGGAGCGCGATTTTCAGATCGAAGAGGTTCAAAAAACAACTGAATCTTTCACGAAGAAACTAGAGGGAGAAATTAAAAAGCTGAAATTTTTGAAGGAAAGAGCCGAAAATGAGTTTGACGAAATGAAAAAATCTGCTGCTCAACTGGAAATTATTCGCAATGTTTTCGAATTTCCTGCAAAACATGGATTCGGGAATTTCTACGAGCTTGATTCCCGCGAATTCCGACTTGCCCACGACGAAAACGCTGTGCGAAGAGTGCTCAAAGGAATGGCTGCCGGCTTTACGAAATTTAATTTGAAGGAATTGGATAAAATCGCCTCTTTAGCTTTTTTTATTTTTGTTTCGACGCGAATTTCATCCAAAAAAAGTTTTATGCTGGCGAAAATTTAAGACTGACGGAAGCTGGCTGGACAATCGTACATCGATCGAGGCTCGAAGACTTCGGCGGCGACGGCTTTTGGAAAATGTGGATAACTTTCAATGGTATCGATTGTTAAATTTGAGATTTTTATTTTTAAGGAAAACGCGTCGACTTTCAAGCCGAAGCGGACGAGATGAATGTTCATGGGAAGATCTACAACTCGGCAAAGAAGTTGACGCCGGATTCAAGAGGAATGGTTGAACTCGAAGGATGTAATCATTACGTTCGCTGGAATATTACAATTTTGAAATAACTCTGTACATTTTGTCTGTACAAATTACAAAAACAAAACAAGAAAAATATCGAAAACTGCTGTTTTTGTTTTTTCTGTCCTTACCGAAATAATGAAAAATAAAGATTTGGTATCAATCTTCGAAATTGAACTGTATCAAACGAACTTTAACGTGAGTATGTTTACCTTTATCACATGATCGTTGCGGGCGAGATTAGCAGGTATCACTGGCAGATGCGGATGCGCATGAATCTCGGCGGGCGGCAAGGGCGAGCAGCACGGCGGCCGTCCGTCGACATCGTGAGACATTTGCGCTGTGGCCATGTTCGCAATGACGCCAGGCTACAATTAATGCGCGTCAAGATAAGATGCAATTGATGACGCGAAACTATTTCGCGGCGATTTTGATTTTCGCGAAATTCGAATTTTTTTGCTAAAATTAAAACTTGCGAATCAACTTGTCGAACTTTATCGCTGAGAAAAATATCAAAATGTCTCGATTTCAAGAGGATAATTTTTTAATTTTTCAGTTCAAAGAATAGATAATTTCTCCTGACTCAAAAAAAATAAGAAAAACCCTTTGTGAAAAACCTGAGTCAGGATTTGAAGCAGTCAAAATAAGCTTTTAAATCTGTTTTTAAAATACTGAGGAAGCCGCTTAGCGGCTATATTTTTGCAAAAGCCGCGACAAAGCTTTTTAAAAATAAGCTCTTTTTTACCCTGACTAAGGGTTTTCACACAGTTTTCGTCGAATCAAGCCGCTTGCGGCTTTTCCAAAAATGTATGTCAAAAAGCCGCTTTCTCAAAAAGCCGCGCGCGGCTTCTTACGTTCCTAGCGAGAATAGCCGCAATATTACAAGGTCTTTTACAGTCTGAATCCACTTTTAATAGAAAATACTCCTATTCATGATTTGATTGATCGGTTTTATACAAAAAGCGCCACCTGGTGGGCAATTTAAAAATAATTCGAACAAATTACTTGGAGATCTTTTTTGGAATTCAGAATCTTATAAATTTTCTCGGAACAACGCGACACACTTGCGTTTTCTTCGATCAAATCTATCTCCCTCGAAAATTGAACATTCGCTTTCGAAAGTAGCGAGATCCGTGGAGGAGCGGTTTCCGGCAAATTGGGCGGCGGCTGAGCCAAATTCGATAAATTTGATCTGCTCACTCAATCAAATTGAGAAAAGTGTGGCTCCGGCAACTGGAAACTGCCACTCGACTCAAAACTCTTTTGCTCTTGACATTTGACATCGGCGCGGACGGACACCTTCCGAAAGATCAATTCGATTTTAAAAATTTTGAAACGCGCAATTTTTCAATTTTCCAATTTTTCAATTTTTCGATTCTCAAAATTAACGCCTGTTTTTCTTAGCCGACCGGGTTGAACCGCGGCCGAAGCTTTCTAAAAAACGTCTCTTCAGAACTTTTGAGACAAAAGGCTTATCTCGAGTCCCAAATTGCCTACCTCGAAGATTTATCGCTACTCATCCTTTTAACTGTCTAATTCTGTCTAAATGACATCTATGTTCTTCAAGGGACTCGAAGAAACACGATAAAAGCAGCTTTAGAAATCTTCATTTAAGAGAAGCCGCGCGCGGCTTTTTGTCCGAAAATATTTAATACCGCGGAGATCATCGATTTTCTTTTATAAAAAAACCTCTTTCCGTTATAAAAAAATTTTTATTTATTAAAACATATTTGAATACACATCAATATAAAAAATAAACAAAATAGTTCATTAAAAAAGGGGTGGTGTCTGGAACCGAAAAATAATTTCGACAAATTTTCCGCTGGCGGCTATTCGGCTGCTTATTGGCCGGTTCGCCGAATCCAAGCGTCTGATTGGTTGTAGAAAACAAATTTCGCGTAGAATTTTTCAACCAATCAGAAGCCTGGATTCGGCGAACCGGCCAATCAGCAGCCGAATAGCCGCCCACGCAAATTTGTCGACTTTTTGTCGGTTCCTGACACCACCTAGCCGCAAGCGGCTAATCTTTATTTTTTTAATAAAAGTCTATTTAGTTGTAAATTATAATTCAGAGTTAGAAACATTCAAATCTATATGTCCCCAAGGACAGGTTTAAAATTGCTTAATCAGGTCTTATTGCTTCATCAGTTATTTGCGTCATCAGTTAATAACCCCAAGCCAAAGAGCTGGTCTTACCTGTGGACAGGAAGCAGGAAACAAGGAAATGTAAGATGGCGGTTCTTCCATAAATGGATAAGGCGGGGCCGAGTTTCCATCGCTTCTGAAAAAAGGAGAAAATTGGTTTTTGTTGCTTAACCGTTGCACAGAAGCGTTAATGCGATTGCCTCGCGGGACCGGGTTAATGGCTTTGAAACAGTTGGACGAACTCTGTGGTGAGCTAATGAGCCAAACCCAAAAGAACGTTCCCAGAATCGAATCGAATCGAATCTCGATCGCATTTAATTTTCTCTCTGGGGATCGAAAATGATGTTTTTCTTTTTCAGACTGGAGGTTTTTTGTTAATTATTTACGGGGAAAAATAGGGTCAAATCGGTCTGAAAAATAGGTTTGAAAATAAGATTTTGCGAAGATTCTTTTCTCAAGAATTTAACTTAGTGACGCCCTTCATTTTCTTCGTCAAAGAAAGATCCAACCAAAAGCTACTTTTTTGAAAACTCAAGTCCGAAATTTCGATAATTTTTTCTAAAAAATTGCCGCAAAAATTCGATTTGCAACAACTATTTTGTCGCTTTGAAAATGTTGCTTCTTAATTTTTCAATTTCGACAAAAAATTTTGGAAATTTTAAATTTTAAGCCGCAAAATAATATGATTTGATTTCGATCTTTCTTTTGATTCAGAAAAATAAGGGTATCACCACTGAATGTTTTCTTTAGAATTTGAACTTTTTCGCCGTCACTTAGTTTTTTTTCCGGCGAAAAGCAGATGTTTCTTTTCGAAACAATCGCTCTCTAAAATCGCCTCAAAATAGCAACTGTTCCTTCGAAAAAGAAGAGCCAGTCCAAGTGCCCGTGATTTTGAGCGAAAGAGAAACCGTGGCCCTCTTTTTGACTGAACGAGATGGCAATTAACGAGCTTTGCTTTCAATAGCTGTAGCGCGCTTTTACGCTAGAATTTAGACATTCTGAGCGGTCCCCTAAACACTACCCGTCGCAAGTGGCCTCGAGAGAGAGAATGAGAGCTACTGCATATGCTCCAGCTGATTCATAACTTATTCAAAAGAAACTCTATCGCAAAAAAGGAAAATGACCGAAAGTAAGCAAAAAAATAAATAGATGATGCCAGTAGACCAAGATAAACTTCCTCTCAAAACACGGCGAGTCCTTTTTAAAAACATTCTTTTTGAAAATTAACTTGTTGAAAAACGTTTGTCTTATGAAAAAATAAATTGACAAAACAGCTAAAATACATGTCACTTCATGTTTTATGAGCAAAAAAGTACAGTCACTTGGATTATTATTCGATATATAAAAATGAACATCTTTTTCATTATGACTAGCAATACAATTTCTAACGCATCAAAATTGTTGCATAAATTCTATTACTTAAGGGGGTGGTGGTCGAGAATCGGATTTTTTTCAACAAAATTAAATCAAAATTTTTCAAAAAAAAATTTTTCTGTTCTCAACGAAAATAGGTTTAAAAGGGTTCAAATTATGTTGGCGACTTAGTTTTAAAAAAAAAAAATTTCGGAAAACGCTCAAATTATGCTTCTAAAGTGGACCTATCTCTTGACAAAATTGTGAGGAAACCCTTAAATTTTTTTCGAAATTAAATTTATTGTGAAGATAGTTCAGACCCTTTGGCGTGTTGGCAAAATAGTTTCAGAAATGTTCTTTTACATTTTGAGGTCAAAGAAGCTGATTTAAAAAAATTGTTTTCTTAAAAATCGTCATTTTTCACCCAATTTGAACTTAAATTTTCAAAAAAATTACAAGTATTGTCAATTATTGCCCTTTTTTGAGTAAAATCATTTATTTTAACAATATCTCGCAGCAAAAATCATGTTAATATCGGTTTTGGTACAGAAAATCAAATTTCAAAGTTTCGTAAAATCGTGAATTCCCGACTTAAAATCGATATTTTCTAAAGAAAAGTTGATCCAATCAAAAAATGGTAGGAACCAAAAATATTCTTTTTTTATCGAGGAATTCAAAAATAAAATCAAAATTTCAAAAAGTCGAAAAAAATATTCTCGACCACCACCCCCTTAATCCAGTATTACAGTTGATTATTAGATCTGACAAAACAAAATCTTCAACAGGCAATTAATCATTTATTCAATTCTTCTCAAAATATACCTGATAATATTAAAGATATCAATCCAAAATCCTTGATTCAAAATTAATAAGTACCATACCCTTAAGACCAGGCTTGTGTTAGGAAGCGAAAAACGCTTAGCGACAAATTTTCTTAAAAATTTTTAACCAATCAGAAGCCCGTATTCGCCCTACTGGCCAATCAGTGGTCCATATTTTGGGGTTAGGGTTAGGGTTAGCCCTCATAACGGGGCCAGAGATAGAATAAAGTTTACCTGAAATTATGTCTGGCAGACCGTCTGAACCTCTGCGTGAGTCTGAACTTGATAATCATCGTATAAACCAATCTGTAGATCGCCGCCACCAACGCGACGAAAAACGACAGTAAGAAGAATAAGAACACTGGCAGCAGGATCTTAACATGCTTGTCTTACTCTGATACGATTAGCTTTTATTGTGTGTTTCTTTTCGCTCGTTTTTGATGATAGTCAAATAAGCAGGATGTTTTTGAATAAGCTTTTGAGCGCTGATTGCAAAATAAATGCATAATTGGCGAAGGTGGATATCGTAATTAAAAATCAGAACTGTTTATTTTTATTTAATTATGTTTTGAGTTCAATTTTAATGAGCTAGAATCATTAATAAGAAAATTTTTACTAAGTAGAAACCATAAAAAAGGTTCTTAACTGAAGAAACAACACAATTTTCCAAAGAAAATAGCGAGGAGACACCCTTATTATGTCTCTTTAAAGATCAATCTAGTTTTTATGTAAGCCGAAATTTCAAATTTTGAAGATATTATTTACAAAATTTTTGGTCAAAATTGTCTTAATTTTGCTCAAATAGCCACTTTTACAAAAACACAAAGTAAGGGTATCACTTTATTAATTATTCATGATATTTTTACTTCTTTTTCTGTGAAAACGTTTTCAACAAGACGGAAAATATAAAGATAAAAATAAGAAAGCTTAAAATTTTCTATTTTGAAAATAATTTTCAGGTCAGAAGGTCTATTTTCTAACAGCTAAAACTGGAGCTTCGGGAAAGAAATGTGTCGTATTTTTGGAAGTTGGACACATTTGGAAATGTGAACACTGATTACTGTCATCCCAAGTACTGCATCACAAATCGGTAATTTACACGGATTTCCAAGCGCTGGAATTCGTCAATTACAGTATTCACTTTCTCAGAAACATTTTACCAAGGAATAAGTCGCGAGTTATTTTTTCAGTGAAATTTTATTAAAAATGTTTTTCAAATAGAAAATTTCGATCTTCAAAGAAAAAAGAAGAAGGCCAAAATTTCCAATTTATAAAATAAAATAAGGGTGTCACTATAAAAACTTCAAAAGAAAAATCCAGATTTATGGAATCTTTCCTTCAAAATAATAATTTTGCGCCAAATTTTATAAAAAAAAATATTTTTCTTGATTAATTTTCATAGTTTTGAAGTTAAAAAAAATATTCTTTTAATTTACCCTTACTGTCATTCTGTTATCAACGGTCGAATCAATCTTCTGATAGCCGGTTTGTTTCCAAATTGAAAGAGAAACGTTCTTTTTTCGGATTGAAATCAAGGAGGAGAACAACAACAAAAATAATCAAAAAAATCGCTAAAAGTGAACTCCCGCCGCGGAAAGAAACATCTAATCAAGATCCAATTAATTAATTCTTTTGTCAGTTTTTATTTTCGACAAAAACGAGCATTTAATTGCTCGAAAAAGAGGCAAAAACAAAGCTTATTCGAAATTGTCGCTAAATTAATTTAATATGACTCTGTTTTCAACTCACGATTTGAAGTAAAATTGAGTGTGGACCAAAAACAAGAAGAAAAAAAACTACAGTTGGGACGAAAAAGAAGCAGGTGCTTCTGAACACATGTAAGAAAACAAGAAAATATAGCGAAAAAAGAATTAATTGGAGAAAAAATTAGACAAAATGGGGCAAAAAACGTGAGGATAATTATTGAGCTTTATTTTTAATTTATGCGATTCGACGAATTCTACGTGTGAATCTTCAATTATCGCATTTTTGCAGCAAAAAACGTCGCTAATGTCTACTTTCGAGCCGAAAATAGGCGCAAAGCGACAAAAATGGCGACAAATTGAAAGAAATTTTAATGCAAATTTTCAGCCTATCAGAACCCTGTACACAGCCAACCGGCCAATCAGCAGCGAAATCAGCCGCCCACGCAAAATTTGTCGGCATTTTTATGTCGCAATAAATATAAACAGGGTTTGAAAAAAGCAAGAAAATAAGGTTTCTGTCATCGATTTCTTAGTCAAAAAAATCACCAGATTCAAGTGTAATTCTAGCGTAACCCAGCTTTATTTAGTAATAATTGTTGCTCGAAAAAATGGATTCTTGCTTAACAACTAGAAGCGGGAAAAAGTTTATTGCAAGACTAGCCCACTAACAAACTTAGCGAAATCAAAGCAAACCTACATGTAGTTTTATCCCTCTTTTTCCCACCCAAAGCGTATTTGCTAATAAATAAGAGCTCTAAAACATGTTTTTTTCTTTGCTCTAATTATGGTCCTTCTGAGCTTGTCATGTCCTACCATGAAGTTTAACTCTTTGGGGAGAAAGCCCTTGCTCCCCTTCCCCCTATCCCGCGCAAATCAGTGTCGGGGAAGTCTAGAAAATTTCTTGAACGCTTGCTAGGCGGCTTAGAAAAATCTCGAGATTCTGAAGAACAGAATCTGGAAAGTCCGAGCCAATGAGAGAGCCGACAATGAATTGCGCGGCTTCTCCCCCAAATAAGGCGCGCTCAGAATGAGCTACTGAAAAACTCAGTGCATTTTTCAGTAGCTCAGATTCTCGATCTCCCTTTTGAGCTCAACTCCATGGTAATTCGTCTTGTCAATAATTTCATTCGGCGAAAATTGGATCTGCTAGTTAAGACCTAACCAATCGATACTTTTGAGAGGCAATTCCAGGCATTCGCAATTGACCCCCCGTGGAGATCATCTGCTGCTTTCCCAGAGGAACAAAGCGGATCACCTGTAATCGTGATCTTTTAATTCCAAGGTCAAACAAAGATAGACCATTATTTTATTATTTTAAGCTACTCAAAAGTTTATTTATAAATTTCTAATTAAAATAAATAAATAAATTTCTATAATTTAAGCTCAAAAATGTGTTTTTTGAATTAAATAAATAAAATTCTATTTTAATTAAAAGTCTCAAAACAGTGGAATTTTGTCCGATTTTGGTCATTTTTGACCCTTTTTTAGTCAAAAATTAAACTAAAAATCTCATTTTTCCCGCTTTTTTAGGGTGAAGTGTCTGGAATCGACAAAAATTACGACAAATTTTGCTCGGAAATTTTTAACCAATCAGAAACCTGGCTTCGGCAAACCGGCCCATCAGAAGCCGAGTAGCCGTCCACGCAGAAGTTGTCGAAATTTTTGTCGGTTCCAGAAAACATCCTCTTCTTAGGCGATTCTGATTGTAAAAAGCGCGTGAAATCCGTTTTGAATCAAAAATTTTGGGCGAAAAAGAAGGATTTCAATCCATCCCTGATCTGTTTCTTGAAAATCTACTTCGCCCGAGCTTCCAACATTTGTCTCGTCTGAATTGAAGCTCGAATTGGCGATGATGTTCATTTAATCCCTCTTTCTCTTCTTCTTTTTTCTCTTTTGAAAATCTTTGCAAGAAATCGGAATAGAAAGTCCCGTAGCTGTTTTCGGTGATCAGGAGCGAGATAGAAAAAAGAAAGAAGGAAAATAGAGGAGCGCGCGGAGACGGAGCCGAATAGCGGAGGTATCGATCCCGCAGCTTATTTCGTCCAAAAAATGCTTCTGCTCCTTTAGAACACTCCGAATTCTCAACACACCTTATCAAAATTTAATCGCCGCATCCTCCCTCGCCCGGTTCTCCTCTCTTTCAGCCGCCCGGCCAGGCGAGTACGATTTTTTGTATTTTTTTCGACCGCGAATTGATTAAAAGAACCCTTTTTTGTTGAATTATTTAGCAATAGGAGCTTTGATTATTGATGATTTTTATTGAAATTTTTTTTATTTTTAAAATTTGAAGGACTTTTTTTATAAAATTGATATTTCTAAATTTTATATTGAGAATTTTTGATGGAAAAACCTGTAACCGAGACTGAATGAAAGCAAATCAATATTGGCAACAAAACAAAAGTCTCCGATGGGGATCGAATCAGTGCGTAAATATTGATGTTCTTCCACGAAAACGACTGTTTCAAGTTCGAAAACATGATTTTACATAGTTTCTTCCATGTCTCCAAAAAAGGGCCCCTTTTTTCCTCAAATGAGACATCCACTCCCAAACTGCTTATCGACACATCACCAAGGCGCATTTATTGATAAAGCATTGGAAGACGCTTTTTTGAACTGCAGAAAAACTTTTTCTCAATGTTCAAGAGATGCCGAGAATACGATAATCGAATAAATGCAGTAAATTGCTCCACCTGTTTTTTTAATTCTTCTTTTATTATTTATACAGAATTATTGTCGAACTGTAATGTTCCAGCGGACATAAACATAGTCTCCTTCGAGTTTTACCATTCCTTGTGAATCTGGCGTCAACTTCTTCGCTGAATTGTAGCTCTTCCCATCTCGATGGCAAATATCGTCCGCGTCGGCTTGAAAGTCGACGCGTTTTCCTAAAAGTAAAAATCTCAAATTCAACAATCAATACCGTTGCAAGTTAGCCACATTTTCCAGAATTGCCCGTCGCCGCCTTCGTCTTCGTCCCTCGTTTGATGTCGGATTCTCCATCCAGCTTCTGACACTTCTAAATTTCTTGGCCAATAAAACTTTATTTTGGATGAAAATCGCGTCGAAACAAAAATCATCAAAAATCAAAAAACGAGTTAATCCGATTCCTTCAAATTGAAGTGTCTCATTCCGGAGTTCACTACACGCAACACTTGTCGAACTGCATTTTCAGAGTGATCTTCTCGTACATATTTAGAATCAAGGCCAAAGTAAAATCCAAATCCATCGAGTACTGTTCCGAAAATTTGACTTTGCTTACTCGCCTCCAAAATGTGAACCTTTTCTTGAAGCTCAGAGTTCTTCTTTTCCTTTTCAAGGTTTTCAGATGAGAGCTTAGAGATTTTCTTTTCAGCTTCTTCCATCATTTTTCGAGCAGTTGACATAAAATCGGCCATTTTCGTATTCTCGACCGTTAGCTTCGAGATTTTACATTGATTCTCAGCAACAATTCTCTGCAATTGCCCAATCAAATGATCCTTGATAACATCCTTCGTCTCTAATCGATTAAGGCCAAAAGCGAGGTTTTCCGGTTTGATTCGATTCTTGAGCTGTTCAATTAAACTCCACAAAACAGGGTGCCTCATCAGAGCAGTCACGCTTTCAACTCGCTCGCCAACTTCAACGACCAAGCATTGCTTGATCAGACTTTCCATGACAGGAAAAGCGACTTCAGCTGGATTTCGAATGTTTTGGGCGATGTTGTTGATCGTTTGGATAAGATTTCCAGTCGCGAAAGGGTTTCTTACAACAGTTTCTCGTTTAGTAAAATGAAAACTTACGGTTACCTACGGTTCGTCAGGAAGGTATTTTTTTTTCCTGACGAACCGTAGTTGAGGGGATATCGTTCTAGAAACACGATTAATAACCACGTTTGAGAGGTGATATGCGGTCACGAGGAGACTTTTCTCATAGTTCGTTCATTTCTAAAATGTATCGTGGTAACGTGGAGACTTCTTTGAAAACATTTTTCTGTAGTTTTTGTTGATTGATAATCTTACATATATTTTTCAAAGTTTTCTACAAGACAGGCGCGGAGCGCATATCATATGCGGCATATGTTCTCTTCTGTTTTCCAATGGGTGTGGAAAATGAAGATTTGAAAAATGCATTAAATTTTGTCAAGCCTCTCACAGCTTACAGTAAGGTTACAGTGATGTAAGGTCACCAGTTTCTGAAAGAGTGCCATCGATTCTCTGGGGATTGAAGAAAAAATCATCAAAAATATTAACCTACGCTTCTAGAGAAGGGATAAACTCTTTTTCCAAGAAGAGGGTCCTCTTCTGGTGGAAGACCTGAGCAAAGGTCCTCCGCTCTATTTTAGAATATTACGCTTATAGAACGCGTAGGTTTATATTTTTGATGATATTTTAATCATTCTCCAAGGTTTCGGACCTGTTCTATCAGAATATCCTATTCTCATAGTCACATGACGTCCTATGTAGACGTGAGGGCCTTGACAAATTTTGCCAAATTCAATTTTTGAACTAAATTTTTAATTTTCTAGTAGCTAAGGTAGAAATCGAGCTGGTTAGAAAAGGTCGCTTTGAGCTCAAGAATCAGCGAAAATCAATAAAACTTTGAAAATTGAAAAAAATTATTTTTGAAAATTCTCATTTTTGATCCCCAATACTATTTGGTACGCAAACTGAGCGATTCCCGATTGTTACTACTTGTTAAATTAAGGTTAGGGTTAGGGACACGGAGAAAAATGACAGAACAAGGTCACCCGAGTTCTGTCTGAGTTACCTTCAGTAACCCTAACTAACCCTAGACTACACCCCGGCATCTTAGGACCTAAGGGGCGAAGCCCCGTGGTTAGGGGCAGTAAGATTGAAAAATTTTTCCTACCTTTTCTTCTTGTTGACCCATACGGGGCAAAAAACAAGATCTATGAGACCGTTCTAGAGATGACCAAAAATGACCTACGGTTCGTCAGGAGGGTATTTTTTCCTGACGAACCGTAGCTCTGGGGCATTTCCTGACGAACCGTAGGTCACCCAAAACTTAAGGGTAAATGCGTCGATTTGGCCAATTTAGGGGCTTAAATCTCGGGCCTGGGAATATGTAGGCCGTTCCGAAATGGCTTATATAAAAGATGTATCTTTAATCACGCTTTTATCACAGCCTTTCACTCTACCTAGGTGTTATGGAAGAAAAATCGACCCCATGATCGCCTTTTTGCTTCTTATTTGAGCAAGAATGTGAATCTCTAAGTCGCGGCGATCATTTTGGTACCAAATTCATGAAATACAAATTGGTTTTCATAAATGATGACATCTCGTCGATAAATGAGTTCGTTTTATTTGCAGTGGCTTAACGTTTTCGGAACAGCAAAAGTTCCATCATCAGAGGTACGTTTGTCTGTTTTTGGAAGGTTTACAAGTAACTCCAAGACTTCGGCTCTGATGATGGAACTTTTGCTGTTCCGAAAACGTTAAGCGACTGCAAATAAAACGAACTCAAATTGGTTTTCGGCATTTTCTACCATTTGAAGTCCAAAAATGAGCAGTTGAAATTTTCTAGCGCCCGGAAAGGGATGACCAGCCTACCAGTACGCCCCTTATTCTTAGTCTTAGTCTGGAATTGGGGGCGTCCAGATAGGCTGGACTATTAACCTTTCCGGGCGCTAGAAAATTTGTAGTGCTCATTTTGGGACTTCACATGCTACCTGTATGCCGAAAAAGTCGGATTTCGATGAATTTGGTACCAAAATGATCGCCGCAACCTGAAGATTCTTATTCTGGCTCAAATAAGAAGTTTATAAAAGGTGATCGTGGGGTCGGTTTTTCTACCATAACACCTAACTATACCCTTAATTTGATTGTTGAAAATTACAAAAGCAAGTGTAGAAACTGTTCCTGAAAGTACAAAGCATTTGCATGACGACTCCATAGGACCAAATATCTCGTCTGAAAGACAATTTTTCTTTTTCCTGATTGCTGATCGTTTCAGGAGGGTAGTAATCGAAGGTTCCAGCGACGCCAGTGTTGATGGTCGATTCGACGGTCCGCGAAATGTTGAAATCGGCCAGTTTCGCCTTGATTGTTAGATTGAATTCGTTACGTAATCATTTGCTTACAGTTTTCTTGTCAGCGGAGAGAAGGACGTTTTCCGGCTTGACATCTCGGTGGACGACGTTTTGGTTGTGGACGTAATCTGAGAAAGAGTAAGGGTTAGTGTTAGTCATTGATACGATTCGAAATGACAATACCTAGAGCAACAGCCAGTTGAGCTGTAATTCGAAGAGCTTCGTTTTCATCCCAGGGCTCCTCCGTTTCTTTTCCCTCTAAAATTTACGTGAGGAAGTGCCCTTTCAATCTAAACGTTACCATTGAGAAGTTTTTCCTTCAAATACTCGGACAGATCGCCGCCTGGAAGGTATTCCAGGATCAGCGCGTGATACTCCAGATTTTTCGGACCAGTAAAGGTGAAATCATCTAGCAGTTTGACGACGTAGTCGTTGTCTTTATGGGATATCGTGATGAACGAGGAGAAGTTATCTTTTCTTATATCATCATCAAAAAAGAACCCCATTCCTAGTTTTTGAAGCAGCGCTACTTCCGATTTCGCGTCTTCTTCTTGCTTGTCGGTGACGAGCCCAATTCCTTTCAGCATTTTCAACTCGTTGTCTGAATACCATTACGTAATCGTCCCTTCCCATTTCGCCCCTCTTACCGTTTTTGGTATCCTCGACGACGTAGTAAATCTTCCCATCTCTGGGCTCCTTCAATTCTCTGATCGCCTTGTAACGATCGTTGATGATTTTTCCTTCCATAATCGACGAGTAACGAAAATCGGGATTCTGCTGAATGAGAAAACTCAAAACGGGGCGATGTAGCGGGGCCGGCTCACTATTTGCAAATGTCGCCTTCTTCAAATTCTGCAAATATCGCTGGGAACAAGGGTCACCACCGCGCATCCACTGTATTTGATCTCTCTATTTACAGGGTCTGACGAAGATGGGTCAGATACTTTTTGTGGTTTTTGGGTTGCTATCGTTTGCCTGGAGGTTTTTGAAGTTAATATTGAAACACCATAATTTTGTGTCCAAATACTTGAGTCAAAAGGCCTAATTTGAAGTTAAAAAGAATATTATTCAAAAATACTCTTATTCTTTTTCAAAATATTATAATATGTATATAAAATTTTCCGCGAGATCGATGTTTTGGAGCTCTTGACACTCGATCTTGAAAAAATTATTTGTTCAATGCAAATATTCAAAAGATGGCAAGTGTCGCAAACGCATCATCAGTGTACTGAGAAGGAGAGTTAGAACTTGAATACTTTGATTTGAGTCAAATTTCGAGAATGATTGGCCAAATTTTGAACGGCAGGTATCGAGTTCTGCGGAAGCTGAAAGAGGCGAGAGAGGGAAAAATCTACTACGTTGTCGAGGACCAGCAAAATGGTAAATTTCTAGTGATAGTCATTCTTAACTGTTCTCTCCTCTCCCAGGAAACGAGTTGAGAATGCTCAAGGGAATAGGACTTTTGGAAGAAAAGGAGGAAAGAGATGCCAATTTGGAAATTAACTTGCTTCGACAATAAGGAACGTTTTTGCGCTAGATTTTGCACCTTTTTCAGGCTCCAAATTTGGGTTTTTGATAAGATTTTTCTTGAAAATGAATGAAGATCATGACTTTGTTGTTAAACTACTGGACGACTTCAAGTTCACCGCTCCCAACGGCTTGAAATATCACGCTTTGATTTTGGAATATCTTCCTGGCGGTGATTTGGCGCAGTTCTTCGAGGATATGCTCAACAATCGTAATTCTAATTTCAAATTTCCATGCAATACTGCATTTTTCAGAAGGAAGCGAAAACGAGCTACCATGGGCGCAGAACGATGCTTTACGAATCTCCGCACAACTGGTTTTAGCGCTGAGTAAGGCTTCTCAGATACAAAGAGTTTTTACCTCCTTATTTCAAGACTACATTCACGGGAAGAATATCATGCACCGGGATATCAAGCCTGAAAACATCCTCATGTCCGCTGGCCAACAGGTAACAACATCATTTGTCATTTTAACAAACAATTTAGGTGAAAATTGCCGATTTCAACGTTTCCCGATCTGTTGCAGAAACTGTTCACACTGATGTAGCTGGATCAATGGACTACTTGGCTCCAGAAGTGATCAATTCCCAAGGAAATTCGGCTCCTCTCTCGTTTTGTCAAGATGTTTGGGCGGTTGGCATCATTTTTCAAATGCTATGCACTTTCAGGAAAGATTCGACAAAAGTTTAACAGTCAATAATCGATGTTCTATTTGTTCAATTATTCAAGACATCCGTTTACTGCTGGGAACCCGTTCCAGACGATGACAAATATCGTCCACAACGCCAGGCGTCCTGCTGAAGTCATTTTTCCGGCGATGGAAAGTCTGATCCGGCGTTGTCTTGTTGTTGAAATCGGCGAAAGAGCGGAAAGTGCTGCTGCGTTGATGACTCATTCGGCGCTGGTCAGTTTGATCGAACAGTTGAAGAATCGAGTTTTGCCGGCTGATCTGACTTTTGGGCTAACGAGAGTGGATACGACGATGAAAATCAACGGGTTGCTGAATCGGGAAAATATCGAGTTGAAGAATGAACTTTCTAAGGAGAAGAAATCGTCGAAAAAAGAAATTGCGGATTTGAAACGACTCAACAATGCGCGCAACAACGAAATTGTAAGATCTTTTGGTTCGAATGCTGCGATTAATGGATTTGGTCATTTCTTTGGTCTCGACTCTGGCTCTGTCCGAAAATCCCACGACGAGAATGCAGTGCGAAGAGTGCTCCGAGCAATGGCGGCTTGCTTTACGGAATTCAATTTGAAGGACTTTGATAAAATCGCATTTTTAGTTTTTGATTTTTGTTTCAACGCGATTTTCATCCAAAATAAAGTTTTATTACTCCAAAAATTTAGAAGTGACAGAAGCTGGATGGACGATCCGACATCAATACAGCGACAAAAGATACTGCGGCAATGGTGTCTGGAAAATGTGGCTACTTTACAACGGTATTGATTTTTGAATTTGAGATTTTTATTTTTTAGGAAAACGCGTCGACTTTCAAGCCGACGCGGACGATATTGGCGATTATGATGGGAAGATCTACAACTCGGCAAAGAAGTTGACGCCGGATTCACAAGGAATGGTCAAACTCAAGTCAGGAGGATGGCATTATGTCCGCTGGAATATAACTCTAAGAAAATAGTTCTGTATATTTTCTGATTCAAAATTGATTCAAATTAAAAATGTTATTTTAAAACCTAAATCGTTTATCCTCTTTGCAAGGCAAATTTATCGAGCATTCAATATTTTACCTGATACGTTTTACCAGCTAAGTTCTTTCACTTTCACTTTCACAGCCTCACCCCTTTTCTCCCAGTCAAGTGATCGCTGGCCGCCCCCGAAGGGATGGTCTGTTCGGGACTGGAAGATTCCTCGACACTCGAGCGGGCGATTATTGTAACCGTGTGCCCTTAGGTGTTCTGAAAACGTGGGTGGGGCTGAGTGAGCGACCAGTTGGTCACTCTTCGTCACCGCCGAGTTTTAGTTTCAGTTTCTTCTTTCTTGCTTCTTTGATCTTCTTTTGCTAGTATAGAAAAAGCTATATTTGGCGCTGTTTATTTAAATTTGCTCCGAGAAGATTAGATAAACCACACTATGTGTTGATAGACACATAGTGACGAAGCAACTGTAGCGGACACTCCGCTGACACGACACTACTTTCAACTACAGTTACTCGTCCAGAGACAAAAGAAAAGAATAAGAAACAGAAGAAAAGAAGAGTGACTAATCGTACAGTAGAGACACAAGAGAAGAAAAATAAGGTTGTGATCAGGAAAAGGGATTGATGGTCTTTTCTATTTTTGAGAAATTACAGTATTGAAAAAGCTGTATTTTCAAATTTTTAGTTACGAGTTTTATCTTTATTTTCGAAAAAATAAGGGTGTCACACTGTTAGTTCAGGACAAAAATCAAAATTAAAATCGAGACTTTTAATGCCTTCCTCTAAAAATTCCAGCTTCGCATTTATAACTAGAAAAATATGATTGAAAATTATTTCTCATCTTTGAATTACTGGCATTTACTGTAGCTGAATCTATTTTTGCGTCAAGTCAGCAGAGCGTGTTAACCATTTAAGCCAGATAAAACTATTTATAGCGTCGTTATCTCCCTCTCTAATCGCGTTAATGATTCGGTACATGTACTGATACCAGCTCGTTTGAGCTAGCAATTGGCGTCAGAGAGAGAGAGAGAAAAAAAGAGGACGATTTATTTTGTCACGGCTCATTTGATCCGTCCGCGCTCTCTATCACTCTCTCTGGATGCAATAAACTTGCTCCCTACTCCCTTTTTTTCAAAACAAAAAATACTCTTCCAAATGACGAAATTTTAAGCTTTCCGCTTGGTTCAAAAATCGACTGTTTTCATCCCTAAAAACAGAGAAAAAGCGGCTCTGAAGGGGATTTAAAACACGCTGCAGCTGAAAAACAACAACAAAAATAGAAAAGAGAGAAAAGAAAAACACAATCGCCATTTGAAAAAAGCGGAAGAGTCCGCAAGAGACGGAGAAAAAGACCGGAGAGACAATTCCGGAGAACATTTTCCAACGAGTACTGAATCGCTTGATGGAATTTGTGCCAGAGCAGCTATCAGCTAATCGACCAAAGAAAAAATAAATCAAAGCGAAAAAGGTAAGAAAGGGGAACAGGGTTCTTCGGGAGATTTTTTCTCAAAAAAATAACAAAGCGATATCCTTAGCCTTAGGTCCACAACCTGTATAGAAAAACTGAGTAAGGACCCTGAGAGAGCTCAAAACCCTCTGACTCAGTTTTTTTTAACACAGGTTGTCGACAATCAGTTATGGCTGTCAGACCACAAAAAAAAGCGCAGCAGCTTTTACAAAAAAAAAGAAGCGGTTTTGAATTAAATAACCCTAACCCTAACTTTTATTTTGTACACGGATCGAGCAAAAACGATTATTTAGGGGATTTTCCATTGCAAAATAAAAGTTAGGGTTAGGGTTGTTTAATCCTGCAAAGCGGCTTCGTTTTATTTTTATAAAAGCTGCTATTAGGGTTAGGATTAGGTAACCCTAACTAAAAATTTTTTCGCATATTTTTTTTAATTTTTGCGCGAATAAGGTGGTCCCTTATTTTGTTGTTTACCCTCGAAAGAAAATAACACATAAATTGTTTTTGAAGCGAGCTGTTAATTTATGAGTTGAACCTTGATCAACTCAAGTCGTAAAATTGAAGCTGACCTGATTTTATATTTTGACAAATGACGCGATAAAACTCAAATTTTAAGACAGAAACCGTTATTCTGAAAAAACATGTCTTTTCTGGCAGACACGCCTTTTCGGGAAATTCCGGTAGAGACTAGTCCAAATTAATTGGATTGGTCATAATAATAAATTAATTACAAGTTATTAAACAGGAGCAGGTGCTAGACACAATTGGTGATTGACGAAAATGTATAAAAATGTGGGTCGTTTCTTTTCCGAGAAGGCTTTTTTATCACCAAGGCTAAATCAGTACACAAAAATGAAGGCGTAAGCCCTCTTCTCTTAATTTAGTAATCCCCTTATTTTTTGGCAATTTCTAGTTTCTGTAGATTTTTTTCTGAACCTATTTTCGTTAGAGTAATAATTAAGGGTGTCTGACAGGAGCAAAAGCAAGCCCGGGCCAACGGCCCAGTTTTTAAGGCCCCTTACACCCTTAAAAATCGATTTGAAAAATTGGTCCAGAAAAAAATCTCCAGAGAATAGGAGCAGCCTATTTTTTTGCTTCAGGTTTAGAATGTCTGGTCCAATTTGCGGTGAAATTTAACCTGGAAACGAGACTAATAAAAAGCCATTAGCATTTACTTCTTTGTAAATTGAAAACTGAAGCGGCCTAAAAAGTAAATTTGATTGAGATCTCGTGGGAGTTGTTCTTCAAATTTGCTTATACAGCATCTACATCTATTTTTGTCAGCTTATTTCTGCTGTTAGTTTCACAGAAGCCATAATTATATATAAATTTTACGGGTTTTCTGAATTGAGATCGCCAGTGGGCGTTAGCGCGTCTTTCTAGTAATAAAATTGCTGTTTCGAGAAGATTCAAAAATTAATACCAAAAGAGAAATATAACGAAACTGAATTGACGCTTTTTTTTGACTTTGATGATAAGTTTGGAAATGGGAAACGCAAACCAAACAAGGTAGAAACAAAAAGTTAAATATTATTTTTATCGCGGGGTGAAGGTCATGTGAAGGCGACTGTGTTTTCGGAAATGGGAAGACACTAAATGCTCTATAAATATTGTTTTTGATAAGGAAAACTTGGGATTACTGTCTCGCGAAATATTTGATTTGAAGAAAAATTCTGATTTGAAGACAGTTTTTATTTGATTAATTTTTCTTTAGATTATCATATTGATACCCTTATTTTTTAACAGAATCAGTTTTTTCATGATTTTTTTTGAGAAAATTCTGATTTTTTCGTCAAAAGCCTCAATTTTTTTTTTGAAGAAAGTCCAAGAATTTTCGAGTAAATTCAGGTCAATGCAGAATTGATCAATTGATCCCTTTTCTATCCCTTGTTTTTATCGCTGAATCCTATCCTTGAAGGATACGTCGATTCCACTCTTCTTTATCCGCCTTACACTGATCCCCTCGATCATCCCCTTTTTCCGCGATTCAGCAAATTAAAAGCGACCGAAATCCACTCGTCGGTCAAAAATGCGCGCGGGATCTCCCTATCAACTGATAGAAGACGCGTAGTCTTCCCAGCGCAGTTCTGAACTCTCGCGGGGTTGAAACTTTTCACTCTCATTTTTCACTCGAAAAGAACAACACCCTCCTCTTGCTCGTTTTCTCACACACATGTGACCTTGATAAGCCTTCGTAGCGCCACCCGAGGGCAAACTCAATCTGCCCCAGAGGAAGACCCCTTCAGAACAGAAAAAACATAACAATTTAAACTTTCGATTACGAGAAAAAAAATATCAAAGAGAAAAAAACAGTAGTTCTCCTTCTTTTTGACTTGAAAAACGGAGCTAGTCTTATTGAGGTAATTTATTCAAGAGTTTTTTAATAAAAAATGAAGAATCAAGAGAGTCCCGGATCACTCCCCTTTTTTAAAGAGGAGATAGAGAGGATGTCTGAACTTTTTGGGCTCCCCATTAGACTTCAAAAGATGATAAAAATATGGATTAAAAAGTAAGATCATTTTTTTAAAAGATTCAGGAAGGGAAAAGTGGATTTTTACCTCAAAACTAGGATTTTTCTGCAATCATAAATCGTGAATTTTCCCTTCAAATTAAGCTAGTGATACCCTTATTTTCTTTCACATTCAAAAAGCTCAATCAAGCCCCTTTGAAGGCAAAAAATTAAACTTTCAGAGACATATTAACTAAATTACTAATTTCTTAGTACCCTAAAATTGTAAATTAAGGGTGTCATGATGCTTAACCCAAGTTTGAAAATATTGTTATTACAGATTGATCATTTCGATTTATTTATTTTCCCCTCTTTTAATTTTTTAAATATTTTCTTTAAATTTTACGAAGGAAACTGCCAGAACCAAAGTACTCGGCAAAAAGAGCGTTACGCTGCAGTTACGCAAATGCTGAGTTTATGAATCACAAAAACGATAAATTTAACTATGGCTTCATTTTTTTCTCGACTCTGAGCAAATTTGCTAACCACTTCCGCTTCACTGGGCGGTCCAACTCCGGTCAACACTCCATTCAATTACAATTTTTGCGATTTTTTTAATTCAACGAAAATTCTTTCAGAACGAAAATGAGTAGACACCACGAAGCGGAGCAGGATTCTAGCGCCCAGAAAGTGGCGCGGATGATCGACGAGCATCGCAACCGAAACAGTCACGTGGCGAAGAAGCAGGTCTCTTCCCACGGGAGCAAACTCTCCGGACTCGAAAGACGAAAGATGGAGAACCGGAACACGACCAAACGACGAAGGTACGTTTTTGTTGATTTTATAACGCTTTTTAATGGCGATCGTCGATTTGCGTAAAAACCCAGTTTTTATATTTATGATGTTTCTGAGACGCGGAGTTCTTCCGGGTCAGATGATAAAAATAAAAACGCCTCTCATACCCTGACTCAGGTTTTCTGCACAGATGACCTACCTTAGATTGACCTTTTTTTGAACAAGGTGATACCCTTAATTTGGGGAGGTGTCTGAAACCGACTATAAAAATTCGACAAATTTTGCGTGGAAATTTTCAACCAATCAGGAGCCTGGACTCGGCAAACCGGCCAATCAGCAGCCGAGTAGCCGCCCACGCAAAATTTGTCGAATTTTTTTTTTGTCGGTGCCAGACACCATCCCCTTAATTTTGGCTTTAAATATACTATCGCTGTACACCCCGAAATAAATAATTTTTCAGAAAGCGATTGTACACACTGACTCCACAAGCACCAAACTTGGCGTCAGTCCCCGAAGACGAGCGCGTCTGCCACTCCGACGAAGAAGTCTTCACCGAAGAAGTGTGCAAATTCCAAAGCGGCCGGCGCGATTCACTCGGCTCTACTGTCTCTTCCGTCTCGACCTCTGATGGCGAAGAAGAGCCAGTTGACTTGCGCGGAAGAGAAGCGAAGGGAACGCGCTCGAGGCCTGATTACATGAGTCTCGGCGACGATAATGGAAACATCTCGCCGTTTTTGGACAGAACTCATGATCAGCTGCGATACCAGGAGTACTACTTTTCCTTTACTAAATGGTAAGACTATATTTCTTTTTCAGAAGCCTTTGAATTTCATTTCAGATTATTTTGGCACGAAAATCTAAAGCGAAAAAAATCTCCAACGATTCAAAATTGATGAAGGCAAAAATCATCATCACTCAGAAATTCTCCCCGACAGAAAAAAACCATCCTCAAATGCAGTGAAATTTCTCATCTCCAAGCTTGAAAAATTCTTGAGCTTACGTAAAACCTTACTGAAACGCAAAATAAGTGCCTTTTTCCACACATTGTGCCACTGAAACTCTTTCTTCTCATCCTGCTTTATGCGATTTTTATTAATTCTGACAAAAAACTACTAACATCCAATAAAAATCTTAAAAGTCTTAGAATCGTTATAGTTCGATACCGGTAAAGAAAGAGACAAATATGATGATCAGGTCGATGACGGGACTATCATTGATAGTGTGATTGAAATCGGTAGATATCATTATTGTCATCGTTGATTTCAAAAGATGCCATTGCATCGGCATTATTGCAGGTCTTTGTTTTCCACGTGGCAAAACGCTCGTCTCGGTCCTTATTTCAAAAGCAGTTTAATTTCGAAAGCAGTGATTGTGCTACTGTATTCTTTCAAAAACACGTACCGCATCCGAATTGACATCATAACGTGATCCGAGTTTGTCCATAAAATAGAAATGGAATTTGTTCTTGCTGTTTTACGTCGCTTTTTACGTTGGTCGGCGGACGAGGTCAACCACATTTTCTTTTAAAAAAAGGTCAAGGCAACTCATGCTCTGCATGATTCTTTTTCATTTACTCGACTTCTTGCCTGATGCAACTCTGTTGATGTAAGAAAACGCCTTGATGAAGATGTTTGCATTGCTTTTTTTGAAATAAGCCATTTTTGACAGGCGCTTACGCCAACTGTAACTTAGGTTTCCGAATATTTTTTTCACTTACAGTAAGATCCAACCTAGATCTAACAAAGCGTGTCACAATTTTTTTTAACTTAACCTTACGACGACAAAAGGGAATTTCACCTGCCGACGACAAATGTGCCATATACTGTATATGATATACATGGCACATCACAGTGTATTTTATGTGCCATATTTGGCAGATGGGCCAAATAATGCATTTAAGGACCCCCGTCATCTTTTTCCTCCGAAAAATTGAAATTTTCAAAAACACCATATTTTTGGTTCTTTATGTGTCCTTAAGTTAAACTTGCTTCAAAAACTTGATAAGACGAAGATTTGACCAAGAAAAATAAATATTTTTGCCAAAATTAGGGCAAATTAGTCAATTTTCGGCGAAAAGCCAAATTTTCAAATGCGATTTTGAGGGTGTTAGAGTCGAGATAGACCCCCAAAAATGCAGCGTCGAAATCGTTTTTTGACCCGTAGAATCCATTTCTGGGGTCAAAATTCGAAAATTCCGAAATTTGATTTTTAAAAAAAGCTGACGGGGGTCCTAAAGATGTATTAAAATTGACATAACATCTCATATTTTTAAATTATAGACATTTGAGGCCAAATGATATCATTTGACATCAAAAAACATTTGGTCGATGTTTCTGGCTCTTCTATAAGAAAGAATTACGCGCAATGCTTTTGCGGCGGAAAAAAGTCCCGCCGACGACAAATGTGCCAAATATGGCACATCGCAATAAATTCTTGTGCCATACAGTAAATACCGCTGGTTTGGGACGCTCAAAAATCCTGCTAGTTTGGGACGGTCGGGCGAAATAAGGATCAAAGGTAAGCGCCCAAGGCGAGCATTTTTAAACTGACCGCTTTACCCCGAAAGCGAAAGTGGCGCCCGAGAGTCGAAAGCGAAAATCCTGCTGGTTTGGGACGCTTTCGTGAATTAGGACCGTCCCAGACTAGCGGTATTTACTGTATATGGCACACGAGTAGCGAAGCTAAATTCGCTTTTTTGACGTATTGACCAAAGGTCTCCCACGTGAAAGTATAGCAAAGAGTTGGAGCTAAAAGAGAGGTCGATGAAAATCCCACATCACGGTAAAATTAGTTACAGGCCTTTGAAAATCTTTGTGCCATATATCATATACGATTATCCTCATTTTGGGCACTTTTTGACTGGGCGTATCTCAAAAAAAAATAATTCAAAACAATTTTTTCTTCCTTATTATTTTAGTTTAAACCCTTAAAACAAAACGTATCAGAATTTTTGAAGTTAAAAAAATGATAATGTAAGATCGGCGATTCAAAAAATTTACAATTTTTGAAATTTCAACCATGTGACCTCCCTTCCGGGCATGACCCAAAGCCTTTTTTCCGGGCATAAATACAAAGCTTATCTAATGAACTCTTAAGAACTGTACCGGATCCGACCTCTAGACTACTGTGAAAAAGGGTTGATTTGTATATTTTTATGTCTTTTCATCAAACCCAACCACTCCAAGGTCGATTTTAATGACTTTTCCTTTTCGATAGTAAAAAATCATAAATATATTTTTTGCTGCTCTCTTTCTTGAGTTATTCGAATCTTCTAAGAGAATTCGAAAATAGTGACTTACGCGAAAGCAATGGGGACCCCCTTTATCAAGGCTTTTGATCGACACTGGCTGTTAAACAAGATCTTCTTTTTATATTTTCATGAATTTTCGCAATAATAATTGACGAAATATCCTAAGAAACTCTGTTTTGACTGTATCAACAAGCAAATTTATAGATTAACAGCAAAAACAAAAAATATTTAAATTTCAAGAGCAAACAGGTATTTAATTTATAAAGAAAACGGATAAAAAATTCTTCAAGCCATAAATATTCCTAAAATTTTGTATGATACTAATCGTGATTTTTATAAGTGTTGTTTTTCGCAAAAAAAAAGATAAAAAATTGATGGAAAAAAGGGACATATTCTGATAAAAATGTTCCACCTGTCTGCATTTCCAGAAAATCTGCATAAACCAGGCAGAAATTAAAAGAAAATAGACATTCCAAATTGTCATCGCTCAAGGCAGTGTTATTTTTTTTTTGCAAGATCTCTAGTTGCAAATTGTCAATTTAATTAATTTTTTTTAATTAGATTTGTCTTTTGCATTTTCCATTCCATAAAAAATATAAAAAAATCACACAAGAAAAGAAGAATCCGCTGTATTTTGAATTTCGTAAGTCAACCTTGTCAATATCTAGGTTAATGATTGCTTAAGGCTAAATTTTTTCTTATAAAACCAGCGAAAATATGAAAAACGCAAAAAATAGAGAATGCTTGTTTTAATAAGCCTTTTTCTTCTTGTTCAGCCTTCTGGTAAGAGACAAGCCCCGAAGGATATGGCCGATATTTTTTCTTTCGGATTTTTAATCAACTGTTATCAGATCTGGATTCCGAATCTACTCCCTCAGCGAGAGCCAATCGCCGCTTTTGAACTTAACGCAATGATAAGAGCTTGTTGAGGAGGTAGTTAGGTACTATACTAGCGTATAAAGCTAGAATCACTAAGCGCAGCCTATCCTTGTTGAGGCCTGCGGGAGTGAGACTCGATTCTTTGCTATTTTTGCTTGAAATATAGTTAGGGATTCTCACGGAAAATCAAAAATAGGTCTTTATCCTTGAAAATAACCAGAATAAGTCAGTTTTTGAAGCTGATTCTATATCCGCAATAAAAATCAAGATTGAAGCAACGCGTGGTGGTTTTATATTCAACAAGTTTTTTTTTCGACATCAATTGTAAATTTCATTATTTACTTGACATGAATAAGATTAATGCCGGAAATCCCTTAATTTCTGCATCGAACCACTAAGTTTTGTCACCTATTGCAGAAAGGTTCGAACCTAACACGGGGCGCAATGTCAATAGAGCTCCAGGGCATCGGAGGGACCCTAATTTTGGGCGCACGCGTCAATTGATTTCCTGCCGCGCCGTTACTCTAAGCCAGTTATCAAGCGATTGAGTTGTTGCATGGTCTTTAAACTTTCGCAGATAGTAAAAAAAGGTCTCTTATTTAACATTATCGATAATCAGAATTTTTTAAAGTGGATGAGATCGTCAAAAGTAAGAGAAACCTATTTATTGGCCGCGCTCATCTTTTTATGCTCTACCGCGCCCCCAATTTTACTCAGTTATCGGGTCATTAGGCTAGGTTTTATTTTATGCATGGTCTTGAAAATTTGACAAATTTTAAAGAATGGTTTGTTTTTATACATATTAAAAAATCATAAATTTCGAAGCTGAGTTTCTGATCCTGAATTATGAATAAGTATCATCGATTCTGTGATATGGAGCATTTTTTACGAAAATTGCACCAGAAAATACGAATTAGTTTTCCGACATTCCGGGCGAAAAGCGCCAGGCCGCGCGCCATTTCCACGTGAGAATCACTAAATATAGTTTACGGAATTTCTGTAGATTTATAATGTTCTTATAAATATAAAGAAAAAAAAATTATGATGATTTGGCATCAAGCTTGCGCTCAAGAATTTTGACCCGACCATCTTTACCTTTATAAAAAATAATTTTGTTCCTTATTTTTTAAAAAACCCAAAATTATATAAAATACACATATAATAAGAACCTTATTTTTAGTTGGCATAAAATGTCCTAGCTCAAAATGCTGGAAACTTGATGAAACGACTCAAACTTGTCAACTTCTTGATGGTTGTGCTACTGTTAATTGTTCGTCGAAAAGTATTCGAGTGACATTTGTTCCGGAGTACTTTGGTGTCGTTGATGCCGCCTAGGGTCAGCAGATTGATCTTACCCAGTTGCCAAGCGCGAAATTTATAAAGGCCGTCTTTGCCAATAGATATTCTGGATTTCGAGCGTGGGGGCAGGTTGTAGCATTCTGGATGCAACGGGGTAAAATTTTCTAAATCTATATTCGAACTTTTTGGCGTGTAAGGCCAGGCAAACAAAATTACATAGCGCTCGCAGCAGAACGCGCAGCGGCTGGACGATCCGATTTAGCTATTTTGAGCTTCCTTGACATGATTCCCGCTGGGCGGGCGCTAAGTAATCTTGTTTATGTGGCCTCTATCTCCAGTAAGTACAGAGTTAGTTAAGCTGATTGTGTGGGATTTGTTAAGAATTTAACGCGCTTTCCAATGATGCTAGTTTCATGAAGAAAAAAATTAAGTTTGCAGGACTTGATGCGCTTTTAAGTTGGGCTTGTCATTTTCTCGCTAGGTCTTCAACCAAGGATGATAGAGAAAAACTAAGAATTGGAAGAGAGAGATGAGGATTTGGAGATATAATTAACAAAAAGAAATTTCAAAAAATCATATATCTAAGAAGAACGGGGAGCGCGTGAAGTTTTGCTCAGCGCTGCTCGCTCAGGTCCCCTAAAAAAAATTACAAAATTTTTTCATATTTTAAGCGACGCGACAATCAATAAGGTCAGGGTGACTTCTTAGATCTTACTTACAGAAATAATATTTTTGTCTACAGAACATAGAAATTCATCCTTGATAGGCCAATAACATCGCAAAGAGCGATATCTCTGTGCGTTATTTGCTTTGCTCTCAATAGCAAATTTTTCTTTCCTCTCAAAAATAAGTTTATGCTTTGAGGGAAATTCTTTTTCAAGAGGGCAAAGGTAGTACGTGGTAATTCGTCGGGGTCGCCCCGACAAATGAAAAATCAAATCACAGTCATTCGACGGGGTCGATCCCGACAGATTGAAGGCGAAAAAGTGCACCAATTCGTTGGGGTCGAGCTATATAACTGCGACGAATATGAGTGTTAATTAGCAGTGATTCTTCGTGGTTGATTTTAAAAATTTTTGGAAAAGGTCGAAGAGTGACTTTTCAAGAGTCCAAGCGACCTTCTTTTTGGCAGGAAATTATAGAATCTAAGTGTCCCTTACCTGGGGGCTCCGCCCCCTAGGTCCTAAAATGCCGAAGTCTAGTCTAGGGTTACTTACTTCCAGTAACCCTAAGTAAACCTAGCCTATCCCCCTCGGTTGAGTTTGTTCTGTCATTATGCCTAGTGCCCCCAAACCTTAACTTAAATCATAAAAAGTACTTTTAGCTCAAATAAGTCTTATTTTTGCAGCAGTAAAGAATTTAAAGTGAACCCTCTCTGTTATTCTGATGAGAGCTATTTTTTTCTTTTGGACTAAAGCTGACGATTTGGATTGCGTCATCGCAAAAGAATGACCTCGACGAATAGGTGTTTGAGTAAACACTGATTCGTCGTATTCAATTGTTCGACCCCGACGAATAGGTGTGTTTTTGAACTTGAATCTAGCGGGATTGCCCCGACGAATGACTGTTATTTCATCTCTCATTTGTCGGGGCGACCCCGACGAATGACCACAGACAACAAGGGCAAAAAGGGGATCCAATGCTTTTATTGTAGCCACTGACTATGGTCCGAATGGTCCGAATGGTCCAGCCAAAAAATACAAAATTAAAAATCCTGTTCTAGAGAAAATAATCACGGATAAAATATCGCGAGTAAGACAGTTATTTATGCTCTTCATACAAAAGAGCATTAAAAACCAGAAAAATACGTAAGTTTGAAAGTTTTAATAAATCGCTTGCTCTCACCTTTTCTACGATATTGCACTTAAACATGTCTGATTTACAAGAAAACTAAATTAACCCCTTTACTCGAAGCTGCCTTAAGGGTAGAACATGAAATCGGCGCGCGGCGCCTCGCTCGCCCAGCGCCCCGCCGTGCCCTACTTTTCAGAATGCCCTAAAATCGGAACGGATAAAGCTTTTCAAAAGTTTCTTCGGATTTCAGATCATCAAAGCCTTTACTTTGCACAGATCAAAAATGAGCAGAATCGTCAAACAATTAGTCGGAGAAAATGACATGAGTTGGTTAAACTCTATCTCCTCTCGCAATTCTTATCCGATTATTTTCAAATTTAGATAGGTCGAAAGTGCTCCGTTAGACCTAAAATTTCGTTGGCACAGAATTAATTTTGAATCTTTATAGAATTTTATATGAGCTTTTGAAATGAGAGCTGCACCGTCGTGAGGCGCGCCGCGTGAGAAAAGAAGCGGCGCGGCGTGAAAGCACTTGTTTTGAGAAGCCGTGTGGAACTTTAAGAAGCTTCAAAATTAATTCTGAGACAACGAAATTTTAGGTCTAACGGAGCACTTTGGACCTATCTAAATTTGAAAAATCGGATAAGAATTGCGAGAGGAGATAGAGTTTAACCAACTCATGTCATTTTCTCCGACTAATTGTTTGACGATTCTGCTCATTTTTGATCTGTGCAAAGTAAAGGCTTTGATGATCTGAAATCCGAAGAAACTTTTGAAAAGCTTTATCCGTTCCGATTTTAGGGCATTCTGAAAAGTAGGGCACGGCGGGGCGCTGGGCGAGCGAGGCGCCGCGCGCCGATTTCATGTTCTACCCTTAAGAACCCTTACCCGAAGTGTACAATTTTTGTACACAAAATGAGCGAGTTGAGCTGCTTAATCAGATCCAGCTCAACCCCGGATAAGCCGCAAATATGGAGATATGGAAGACAAAAAATAGAATTCGCTAGAAATATCCCCAATAGGGTTTTTGGGTGTGTAAAATCCGAATTTGAAGTCAAAAATGACTTTTAATGTCTAGTATTTGAGGGGCAGTAACTTTCGCTTAATTTACTGCCCAAACAAGAAAAGCCCTTCAGGATCCATAAAATACCTATTACTGCCCACAATAAGGTTATGGGCTTCTATTTTTGGGCTGTATTTTTCGCGAAACTTCCTGCCCGAAATAGGCATTTTCCTGATCTAGAAGGGCTTTATCCTTTTCGAGAAGGATACTCGACGGAAAACACTGCTTGTTGATCGATAAAGTCTTTGATCTTCTATCTTAATCATTCTCTGTTGATGGTTAATGGAGGGATTGCCTCGCTACAGTCGCGTTGAGCCAAGGCGGAGCCTCTGCGGAGGTAAGCACATGGCGGTGGGCCCGTTGCATCTCTCTGGCTCGGCTAGCCGCCTTCACCCACCGAGACAGTGGACCATATAGGATCCTAGGCAATACGGACCAACTCTAAAAAACTCATCTTTTTCATTTTTAACGATGGTTTTCGAATTCCACATACTAGAAAATCAAAAGATAAACTTGAAACCAGAGCAAAGATGACTCCAAAAGATGAAGGGAAATTTTTCTTTTCTTGAAGCAGGCGGGGTGGCGTGAGAAAATTAGTACTCGGGCAGTACTTATTGGGCTTATCAGGCCGAAATTTTGCGACAAGGTGCGTAAGTCTTCTGCAAATACTCATTTGAGTATTCAGGTCATTCGGACCTACCAGTTCCATTCGGCGGGCGATTATGGACCCCTCCGTCATGTGAAAACAATTTTTCAAACAGTGATTTTGGAGTGATCCTCTTAAGATTTTCGAAAAATTTTTATCCCATAGTATAGCCCGATAGTTGCTCTAGGGCACCAGAAGTAAAGGCACCCTCGTCCACTTCTTAAGGGTGTCGTAAGAGTAGGTTAAAGTTTCAAACATCGATTTTTCTTGGAGAACCTTAAGTTACATAATTTTTTAAAAACAAAAATAAAGCTTGGGTCAACCTTGGGGGCATCACGCTGTTATTTTTGAAATTCATAAAAGTTTCACTTGAAAAATAATTTTTCATTTTTAACGTGAAATTGATAAAAACGACAAAATTTTCATAGAAACTCCATAAAAAGTAATAATTTATGTTAATTTATTAATAAAAATATGCTTCCCAATAATGAAATAGGCGAAAATCCGTGATTCACACATTTTCCGTGAAAATGTTACTCGCGCCTAGTACGCTCTCAGCGCTCCACTATTACGATTTTCAAAACTTCAACTCAAATTTTAGGGTGTTAGAGTGGAGATAGGGCGACAAAAAATGAAGCGAAAAAATAGTTTTCCGGCATGAGTAATCCGAATCCGAGGTCAAAATTTAAAAATTCGTAATTTTCAAATCTTGACAGGGGGTCCTTATATCGCGAAATCGACAAAAATTGTACACTTCGGGTATAGCCTATACCGTATAGGGATTAAAGCTTTGAATTCGTAAAATGAGTGGAGACAAATGATTTTTCGACTAAAAACTTTCCCTTTTGTTAGGTTTTTGACGCCTTATTGTATGGGTAAGCTTAAATTACTGTCTTATTCGCGATATTTAACCAGTAATTATTTTGTCTACAACAGATTTTGTTTTTTATTTTCATTTTTTTGGCTGGACCACTCGGACCATTCGGACCATACTCAGTGCCTTCGCTTTCATTGATGTCTGCTGGCCCTAGGTAACTGCGGCTTATTCATTTCCTTTTGCAAAATATGAAGATGGACAATATGTTATGGATTGCAAGCTTGGAGATTGTAGAATGACAGCAGCCTCCGAAATCAACGGCGAAATTAGCTTTAATCTTGAAATTAATAATCCAACAGTCATCATAGAAAAAATGAAAATATATAGTGCTCAAACTTCAGTGTTGAAGGCGTCATGTAGATATGCGTCTGAAATCAAGGTTTCGAGTAATTTTTTAACGTCACGGATATTCTCACAGAGGGTCAACTTTCTGCTTCTGGAGATTTAACAGCGGGTTTTTCTTTAAATCTTTTTGCCGACCAAAAACGAACAAAAAATTGGATACGAAAACTTATATTGGATCACAAGTTTGGGCTGATATAACATGGGATTTGTCTCAAAACCTGATTGATTACTTCATTACAGATTGCTCTGTTGATATTTATGACAATCATGCAACGTCTGTGGAGATAATCAAAGATAACTGTTATTCAAGTGCTTTGAATATCAAAAAAATTGGCCCATATCACAATCACAAGGCAACGAAACGAGCGAGCTTTACATTTAATACTTTTTCGTCTGATTCACGATCTATCAGTCAGAAAGAAAAAGTGTCATGTAAGATAAAATTGTGCGTTGCTAAGGATGAGAATTGCGCTGCTAACACAGGAACGTGTCCTGTAAAAGAAGGTCTCAATTATACTCAAAACGGTTGCACGAAACCTTCGCACGTGAATGACTATGGTGATTGCAAACATCTAGATGAATCACTTGGTCAAAGTTTACTCGGAGCTTCTGATTACATTCCGCCAATTACACCAAAAGGTAAGCAAGAAAATTCAGGCGTAAGAGAGAACGAGTCCAAAAATTAGGAATGGTTGTTTTGCAGGGCTCATAGTTGGGATTTGTCGAGCATTTTAATCGAGAATGCAAGATTATCGAATAAAAATTTGATTTTTGCAATCAAACCGATAATTACTATATTTTTCTACGAAATTTTCATCAAAAAATTTTTAATAGTAAAAATGCAAAATTTGACGATATTTGCGAATTTCTTCGAAGTTTAAGTTAAAATTTATTTTCGAAAAATTTTGACCGACTTTTGTTGAAAGAAATCAAATTTTTTTAATTTCATAAGAAAAATAAACTTAGCAATGATATTTCTTGTTAATTTTTCCCAAGACCAATTAGATTACAGCATTTGGCCCACCGGCTTATGAAAACCCTTCCCAAAAATATCACTTTCTTTTTTGTCACTTCCTATCTTTTTACTCCCTTTTGTTGGTTCTTCCTCCATTTCTTTATTTAAAAATTTTCTTATTTGAAGAAAAATACTTTTTGAATTTTCAGAAGGTAACGATCAATCATTTTCATTTGAGCGGTAATAATAACCCAAAATCAACAAAAATTGTGGGTGTAGGGCGGCGAGGTTCCTAATTGTGAACCCGGTTCACACTTTTGTACCATCATTTTGAAAAGAACGAAATTGAAGAGTAATATGCGCTCCGCGCCTGATTCCATAGAACAATTCTGTCAATTAAAATTAATTTTTTGACCAGTAAATTTCAGTAATTTCAGTAATTTCAGTTCAGTAATTTTATAAAGCTGACCAAGACTGCTTTTTAAACATTAAATTTAGACGTCACTGAGTTTTTAAACACTCTACATAACGACCAATCGAAATTGGATTCAGCTCCGGGGAAATTTGTTTCAATCGATCAAATCATCCATGATTGGAATACTTGTAGGAGTAAAAGTCGAGCATACTTTGTGACAGTAACAAATAACTCGCCTGATCGTACTCTTATCTTTGGTGCACGATCATATTCTCATGGGAAGCTGTACGTGAACGCTGGAATGACCGTTGCTCCAAGAACAAGTATGGCTTTTGGTTCAGCAAACGCAGACAATGGCGTGATGGTTGGTGTTGAAGGAGAACTGTTTTGGATGGTTTCAGAAAAGAATAATCCCCTTACCCCGGTTGATTTTGCCTTGCATATTCATATTGACAACCCATATATTGGCGGCCATTCTTTGTAAGTAAACGATAAATTTGGCAAGTCATTGATCTCGAATTGAATAAAAAATATTTTATTGATTAAAACCATTTATTCTTTTATTTCAGCAACAAGTTCTTATTAGTAAAATAGAATTTTCTACACTTGTTCCCGCAAATGTGCTAACTTCTAAGTAAAAATCAGTTACCAGCCGAGATTTACACTTGGTAAAATTAAGCTCTCCATATCACCCTCTGAGTGAAGAATTAGTTCGCTCACAATGCAAGCAAACAATTGCTTTGGATTTCTGTTCTCATTGAAACATAATTTTAAGTCGCGCTCAAACTGGATACGGCAACCTCGAGTATCATCGCAGCCACAATATAGCAGATTGGAGTTTGGGCAAAGGACCATACAAAGGAGACGGTTTTACGTATGTTTAAAGATATATCATTTTTAAAATAATTCTTTAGTGCTTATGATATGCCGAATTTGTCGATTGACGTTGCATCAATATATTTTTCAACAGATAGTTGTAAGTTGTATCGTTAATATTATTATTGTGACCTTCAATCCATTGAATTTAAAGATAACTGGTATCGCTTTTCTAAGGGCGAAATTCATTTTGTAATTGACGCTTAAGGGACCCGGTTAGGCAACGCCAAGCTCAACTTCACGCGCCCGCCGTTACTCTTGTGACTAAGATTTTTCAGAAATTCTTTGTGCTAACGATATCTACAGATCTTTAGCTTTCTCATCCACTTCTCAGTTTTTCTCTACCATCACTCGTTCAAGAGCAAGGTCAAAAAGAGGGAGCGCAACTTCAAAGAGTTTCAGCGCCTGCAATCATTTTTCAATCTTCATGAAACCTGCACCATCGAAAAGCCCATTAAATTTTGTACAAATCTTACCGATGGCGCAAAACTGAATCTGTACTTATTAGCGATACAGATCAGATAAGCAAAACTTCTTAGCGCGCGCCCAGCGGGAATCATGTCCCGGGTGCCCAAAATAGCTATCTCGGAGCGTCCTGCCGCACCGCAGCATGCTGAGCGCGCTAAGTTCTCTGGTTTATCAGCCATTAATCCGCAATTAGTACTGTTTCATTTTTGCGCAATAGGTAAGATTTGTACAGAATTTAATGGGCTTTTCGATGGTGCAGGTTTCATGAAGATTGAAAAATGATTGCAGGCGATGAAACTTTTGAAGTTGCGCTCCTCTTTTGACCTTGCTCTTGAACGAGTGATGATAGAAAAAAACTGAGAAGTGGATGAGAAAGCTGAAGATCTGTAAATATCGTTAGCAAAAAGAACTTCTGAAAAATCTTATTCACAAGAGTAACGGCGGGCGCGTGAAGTTGAGCTTGGCGTTACCTAACCGGGTCCCTTAAACGCATATTGCACAAAGCCCCTTTGAAGTCTGATTACTCATTCTTTCGGTGTCCGATATTTTAAATGGACCCCAACTGATCGGACTCTTTTTCGATGACGAATCCAAATCTGGCTTCAAAAAAAAAATCGCCCATCGGAAAAAAATTTCTTTCAAAGAAAAAAACTCTGATTTTCTGATGTTTAAACATCCGTTCTTCGAAAAAAAAAACTATAATCTCTTTATAAGATGCACCTTTTGGCTGCTCAGCAAATGAAGAACGAGTTGATTGCGGGCCGACGACAGAAGACGAATGTGATGCTTTACAGCTATGCTGCTGGAACGAGAAGGAAGGAGAACCATCATGTTATCATCGAAATCTTTAATTTGACAATTGTGCGGAGCATTTAAATGAAAAATAAACTCATTTATTTGATTTTTTAAGAAACAAAAAAAAATTAAAAGGTGAAAGGAAGTTAAGTGATTATCCGTTGTCTGTAATTTTAGATTCCCGCTAAGCGCCTTTTTTTTAAACGAAGCCGCGAGGCGGCTAAGCCAGTATTTAAAGATAGGTTTGAAAGATAATGAAGCGAACAAGTTCTGATTCAGAGAAACTTTTACTTGCGCTGATAAACCTTTCTGCCCGTATTCTTTCGAGATGTCCAGTAAATAGGCAAAGCAAATACAGTTGTAGGTTGTTACGACCGTTATTCCTAGCAATATTTACATAATTTGAAGAAGGCAATCTTTGCAAACATATAAGCTGGCAGCGCTGCAAATTCTCTTCTTATTCTGCAAAGTCAAATTTTGATAAAAATGGAAGGTAAAATGATCATCGAGCGCTACAGGGCAATCAGAGAACTGAAAAAGCCAAGAGATGGGAAGATTTACTTTCTCGTCAAATATACTCAAAATGGTAAGGAAAAATCTGGAAGGGGTTATTACGTAATCTTTATTAGACAACGAGCTGAAAATGCTCAAGGGAATCGGTTTCATGAACGAAGAGCAAGAAGAAGATGCAGAATCCGAAGTCGCGCTGCTTCGAAAACTTGGAAAGGGGTTGATTTATGAAATTAGCTAAGCTTTAGCGAAATAAACTAAATAAAAGCTACTACTTTTGGATTAAACATATGATATTGTCGACGTCATTTGAATGAAGTTTGTGGTTTATTTCTGAGCTTTCGAGCTTAACTGCTCATTATCAAAGAAGAGGTTGACAGGCTACGAATTCAAATTTAGCTTAGATATAAGTAGAAATCAAGAACCTGAATTTTAACGGCAAAACGTTTCTCTCAGCAAGTGAGGATTGTGAACAGACATGAAAACAAGGAATAAAGTTATCTAGAGAATATTTCGCTTTAAGCGTGATTAAGGGTACCTAGGTCGAGTTTGGGTACCCCCTTAAACCATTTTCTGACCAAAGAATCGAATTCTTCAGGTTCTAAGGAACAAAAAACTCTATAATGACCCTATGGCTATCTAAACGTTTTCACGGTCAAAAACCACTGTAAAGTATAAAATCTATAGGAAATGCTAGTGCCTCAAATTTTTACGAAAAATTTTCCACCTCCAATTTTGCTGATTAAGGGCTTAAATAAAAGCTTATGGCCTGGTTAACATCGTAGTGAAGCTTAAAATTGCCCAAGAAAATTAAATTCTGTTCAAAACCGGGGAAAATGGAAGCTTACCAAGCAAAAATGCGGAATTTGTGAAGACTAGACCAAACTTTTGAAAATTTTCTTAAAAAAATCTTTGAAATCCAAATATCTGCTCTGTCACGATTGTAAAGGAGGCTTTAGACTTTATGTATCCAAAAAGAAAAAAAATGTTTGTATGAAAATTTTCGCCTGAATTTAGCGTCCAAGTTGGCCATTTTAGGCCGAGACGCCAACTTTGAGGGTATTTTTTCTGAAAAAAATTTTCGATATCGAAAAAACTGCTCTGTTACGATCCGAGATCTAGGATAGATCTGTTGAATGAGCTATTAAGGAGCTTTTTTCGTTAAGAATTAAGGGTAGTAATTAACCCTCAAAGATGGCCATCTCGACCCAGGTACCCTTAAGGGTGATAAATTCATTTGGAGCTCAACTTATCACGCTTAAAGCGAAATATTCTCTAGATAACTTTATTCCTTGTTTTCATGTCTGTTCACAATCCTCACTTGCTGAGAGAAACGTTTTGCCGTTAAAATTCAGGTTCTTGATTTCTACTTATATCTAAGCTAAATTTGAATTCGTAGCCTGTCAACCTCTTCTTTGATAATGAGCAGTTAAGCTCGAAAGCTCAGAAATAAACCACAAACTTCATTCAAATGACGTCGACAATATCATATGTTTAATCCAAAAGTAGTAGCTTTTATTTAGTTTATTTCGCTAAAGCTTAGCTAATTTCATAAATCAACCCCTTTCCAAGTTTTCGAAGCAGCGCGACTTCGGATTCTGCATCTTCTTCTTGCTCTTCGTTCATGAAACCGATTCCCTTGAGCATTTTCAGCTCGTTGTCTAATAAAGATTACGTAATAACCCCTTCCAGATTTTTCCTTACCATTTTGAGTATATTTGACGAGAAAGTAAATCTTCCCATCTCTTGGCTTTTTCAGTTCTCTGATTGCCCTGTAGCGCTCGATGATCATTTTACCTTCCATTTTTATCAAAATTTGACTTTGCAGAATAAGAAGAGAATTTGCAGCGCTGCCAGCTTATATGTTTGCAAAGATTGCCTTCTTCAAATTATGTAAATATTGCTAGGAATAACGGTCGTAACAACCTACAACTGTATTTGCTTTGCCTATTTACTGGACATCTCGAAAGAATACGGGCAGAAAGGTTTATCAGCGCAAGTAAAAGTTTCTCTGAATCAGAACTTGTTCGCTTCATTATCTTTCAAACCTATCTTTAAATACTGGCTTAGCCGCCTCGCGGCTTCGTTTAAAAAAAAGGCGCTTAGCGGGAATCTAAAATTACAGACAACGGATAATCACTTAACTTCCTTTCACCTTTTAATTTTTTTTTGTTTCTTAAAAAATCAAATAAATGAGTTTATTTTTCATTTAAATGCTCCGCACAATTGTCAAATTAAAGATTTCGATGATAACATGATGGTTCTCCTTCCTTCTCGTTCCAGCAGCATAGCTGTAAAGCATCACATTCGTCTTCTGTCGTCGGCCCGCAATCAACTCGTTCTTCATTTGCTGAGCAGCCAAAAGGTGCATCTTATAAAGAGATTATAGTTTTTTTTTTCGAAGAACGGATGTTTAAACATCAGAAAATCAGAGTTTTTTTCTTTGAAAGAAATTTTTTTCCGATGGGCGATTTTTTTTGAAGCCAGATTTGGATTCGTCATCGAAAAAGAGTCCGATCAGTTGGGGTCCATTTAAAATATCGGACACCGAAAGAATGAGTAATCAGACTTCAAAGGGGCTTTGTGCAATATGCGTTTAAGGGACCCGGTTAGGTAACGCCAAGCTCAACTTCACGCGCCCGCCGTTACTCTTGTGAATAAGATTTTTCAGAAGTTCTTTTTGCTAACGATATTTACAGATCTTCAGCTTTCTCATCCACTTCTCAGTTTTTTTCTATCATCACTCGTTCAAGAGCAAGGTCAAAAAGAGGGAGCGCAACTTCAAAGAGTTTCAGCGCCTGCAATCATTTTTCAATCTTCATGAAACCTGCACCATCGAAAAGCCCATTAAATTTTGTACAAATCTTACCGATGGCGCAAAACTGAATCTGTACTTATTAGCGATACAGATCAGATAAGCAAAACTTCTTAGCGCGCGCCCAGCGGGAATCATGTCCCGGGTGCCCAAAATAGCTATCTCGGAGCGTCCTGCCGCACCGCAGCATGCTGAGCGCGCTAAGTTCTCTGGTTTATCAGCCATTAATCCGCAATTAGTACTGTTTCATTTTTGCGCAATAGGTAAGATTTGTACAGAATTTAATGGGCTTTTCGATGGTGCAGGTTTCATGAAGATTGAAAAATGATTGCAGGCGATGAAACTTTTTGAAGTTGCGCTCCCTCTTTTTGACCTTGCTCTTGAACGAGTGATGATAGAAAAAAACTGAGAAGTGGATGAGAAAGCTGAAGATCTGTAAATATCGTTAGCAAAAAGAACTTCTGAAAAATCTTATTCACAAGAGTAACGGCGGGCGCGTGAAGTTGAGCTTGGCGTTACCTAACCGGGTCCCTTAAACGCATATTGCACAAAGCCCCTTTGAAGTCTGATTACTCATTCTTTCGGTGTCCGATATTTTAAATGGACCCCAACTGATCGGACTCTTTTTCGATGACGAATCCAAATCTGGCTTCAAAAAAAATCGCCCATCGGAAAAAAATTTCTTTCAAAGAAAAAAACTCTGATTTTCTGATGTTTAAACATCCGTTCTTCGAAAAAAAAAACTATAATCTCTTTATAAGATGCACCTTTTGGCTGCTCAGCAAATGAAGAACGAGTTGATTGCGGGCCGACGACAGAAGACGAATGTGATGCTTTACAGCTATGCTGCTGGAACGAGAAGGAAGGAGAACCATCATGTTATCATCGAAATCTTTAATTTGACAATTGTGCGGAGCATTTAAATGAAAAATAAACTCATTTATTTGATTTTTTAAGAAACAAAAAAAAATTAAAAGGTGAAAGGAAGTTAAGTGATTATCCGTTGTCTGTAATTTTAGATTCCCGCTAAGCGCCTTTTTTTTAAACGAAGCCGCGAGGCGGCTAAGCCAGTATTTAAAGATAGGTTTGAAAGATAATGAAGCGAACAAGTTCTGATTCAGAGAAACTTTTACTTGCGCTGATAAACCTTTCTGCCCGTATTCTTTCGAGATGTCCAGTAAATAGGCAAAGCAAATACAGTTGTAGGTTGTTACGACCGTTATTCCTAGCAATATTTACATAATTTGAAGAAGGCAATCTTTGCAAACATATAAGCTGGCAGCGCTGCAAATTCTCTTCTTATTCTGCAAAGTCAAATTTTGATAAAAATGGAAGGTAAAATGATCATCGAGCGCTACAGGGCAATCAGAGAACTGAAAAAGCCAAGAGATGGGAAGATTTACTTTCTCGTCAAATATACTCAAAATGGTAAGGAAAAATCTGGAAGGGGTTATTACGTAATCTTTATTAGACAACGAGCTGAAAATGCTCAAGGGAATCGGTTTCATGAACGAAGAGCAAGAAGAAGATGCAGAATCCGAAGTCGCGCTGCTTCGAAAACTTGGAAAGGGGTTGATTTATGAAATTAGCTAAGCTTTAGCGAAATAAACTAAATAAAAGCTACTACTTTTGGATTAAACATATGATATTGTCGACGTCATTTGAATGAAGTTTGTGGTTTATTTCTGAGCTTTCGAGCTTAACTGCTCATTATCAAAGAAGAGGTTGACA